AGTAAAATTATCTCTACTTGCAGGTGACATGATGTTATTTACATAGAAAATATATTTATATGTAAAAAATTCTGAATATTCCACTGCAAAACTTAGATATACTAAATGAATTCAGTAAAGTTGTAGCATATAAAAATGAACATACAAAATCAGTAGCATTTCTGTACACTAAAACAAATTATATGAAAAAAGAAATACAACAGTTTCAAAAACAACGAAGTACTTAGGAATAATTTTAACCACTGAGGTGAAAGATCTCTACCCTGAAAACTCTAAGACATTGACGAAGAAAACTGAAGAAGACGCAAGTGGAAAGAGAGCCTGAGTTCATGGATTGGAAGAATTAATATTGGTAAAATGTCCATGTAACTCCAAACCATCTGTAGATTTAATCAATCCCCCTATAAAAATTTCAATAACATTTTTTTAGAGGAACAGAAAAAACAATCCTAAAACTCATGTGGAACCACAAAAGACCCCAGAATAGCAAAAGCAGTCCTGAGAAAGAAAACCCTGGAAGCATTACACCTCCGGACTTCAAACTATGTTGCAAACCTATCTAAACAGTATGGTACGGGCATGTAAACAGACATATCAGACCAATGGAATAGGATCAAGAGCTCAGGCATAAACCCATGCATATACGGTCAACTAATATTTGACAAGAGAATCAAGAATGCTCAATGGAGAAAAAATAATTTCTTCAATAAACAGTGTTGAGAAAATTGGATACTCATATGCAAACGCATGAAACTGGATCCCTATCTTACATCACTCACAAAAATTAACTAAAAGTGAACTAAAATCTTTAGCTTGAGACCTGAAACCACAAAATCCCTAAAAGAAAACATGAAGAAAAAGCTCATTGACATAGGTCCTGGCAATAATTTTTTGCGTATGATACCTAAAGCACAAGCAACAAAATAAACAACAAGGACTATATCAAACTAAAAGTCTTCTGCACAGCAAAAGAACCAATCAGCAGAATGAAAAGACAAACCACATATCTGATAATGTTAATATGCCAAATATATAAAGGAACTCTTATAACTCAGCCAATAAAAAATTCAATTAAAATATGGACAAAGGAGCTGGACAGACATTTTTCCAAAAAAGATATACTGCATTCAGAGAGCCAACGCATAAAAAAGAAGCTCAACATCAGTAATTATTAGGAAAGTGCAAATCAAAACCACCATGAGATACCACCTCACACCTGTTGAAATGGTTATTGTTAAAGAAAAAAAAGAGAGAGAGAGAGAGATAAGTGTTGGTGAAGATGTGGAGAAAAGGGAATCCTTGTGCACTATTGGTGGAAATGCAAATTGGTACAGCCACTAAGGAAAACAGTATGGAGATTCCTGAAAAATTAAAAATAGAACCGTATGACACAGAAATCCCACTTATAGGTTATATCCAGGGGGAATGAGGAGTGCCAAGGTGGCTCAGTTGGTTAAGCATCTGACTCTTGATTTCAGATTAGGTCATGATCTCAAGGTTTGTGAGATCCCTTCCCCCTTGAGCGTGTATGCACACTCTCTCAAAAAAAAACATTAAAAAATTAATTTTAAAAAAGTACATGAAATCACTATCCCAAAAGATATCTGTACCCATATGTTTATTGCAGAATTACTTACAATAGCTAGACATGGAAACAATCTAAGTATCCATTGTTGGATGAAGGAACAAAGAAAATGTGGAGCACGATTATATTCACACATGTTCATATGTAAATGTCTATGTTCTAATATATATTACATATTGATATGTACTGTTAAATATGTAATATTAAATATTTCTATAATGGAATACTATTCAGCCGTAACAAAGAAGGAAATCCCACCATTTGTGAAACATGGATGGACCTTGAGGGCATTATGCTAAATGAAATAAATCAGAGAAAGACAAATATTGTATGATCTCATTTTTACGTAGAACCTAACAACAACAAAAAAACCTCATAGAAACAGAGATCCCATTTTTGGTTGCCGAGGTGAGTGGTGGAGGAATTAATTAGTGAAGGGGGTCCAAAGGTAGAAACTTCCAGTTATAAGATAAGTAATTTCTAGGGATGTAATGTACAATGTGATGAATATAGTGAACAATACTATATTGTGTTTTTGAAAGTTGCTAAAAGAATTGATCTTAAAAGTTCTCATCACAAGGAAAAAAATTTTAACTATGTGAGATGATGTATGTTAACTTACCATGGTGATTATTTTGTAATATATACATATATCATGTTATACACTTTAGATTTATACAATGTTATACGTCGACTAGATCTCAATAAAACTGGAAAAAACTAAACCTGATTATGAGCTGTTTAAAACAATTCTGCTGGAGAGCTGAAGATAAAAAGAGAAAACAAGAGTATTAATCAGATGAAGTAAAATTCAATGTACAAAGCTAAGTGGGACAAAGGTTAATTTAGTTTGATAGTGTATGGTTCAAAGTGGAGATACGAGAATATTCTTGCAGTGAATAGCAACACTGAGCTATTAAAAAATACATAAGAAATAAGGATAATCTGACAGATACATAATACTGGTGGGAACCATGAACAAGATATTTTCTGGCCAAGTCCATGAAAGGTAACAGGTGTCGGGGGAAAATGCTCGGCAAGCATCAGGCTTCTACCTTTGGGTTGAATGACATAACCATAATGTCCATTCTCAACTGATGCAAAATGTGTAAGAAATAAAACCAAAAAAGTATTTTTCTAAAGAATCAACTGACAAATGGTTAAGCTAGCTTTTGGTCTGAACTTGTTTTTCATTGCTTTTTGTAAAAATGATGAGAATATTTTGTTTAGAGTTTATTGATTTTGAGGATAGGGAGAGACAGAGAGAAAGGCAGGGAGACTCCCAAGTAGGCTCTGCGCTGTCAGCACAGAGCCCGACATTGGGCTTGAACACATGAACCGTGACATCATGACCTGTGCCGAGATCAAGAGTCAGTCGCTTAGCTGACTGAACCACCCAAGAATATTTTAAAACTAGAGAAATGAAGACTTGGTAGCATTTTATTTGGGATTTTAGTATCTATGTTGATAAGTGAAATTAGTCTGTAGTTCTTTGTCTTATCTTTGTCACGTTTAAAAAAATGTTTTTAATGTTTATTATTTTTGAGAGAAGAAAGAGAGGGCCAGAGACAGAGGAGGACAAAAGATCGAAAAGCAGGCTCTGTGCTAACAGCAGAGAGCCCAACGCGGGGCTCGAACTCAAACCGTGAGAACACCACCTGAGCTGAAATCAGATGCTTAATCAACTGAGCCACTCAGGCGCCTCTCAAGCTTCAAATATGAAATACAGTATTAACTCTCATCACCATACAATTACATTCCATACCCATGACTTACTTATTTTGAAGTAATTTCTAAAACAATGCTTCCCACCAGCTAGTGGGGAAGAAGGGGAGCGAGGTTACAGGTACAGATACTGATCCCCTTCAGCGTCCAGGGGACTAGGTGGCTCAGCCCCAGGGCAGCGAGCTCTCATTGCAGCCATCTTGACTCTTGGTCCCAGTGTGACGTACAAATACTTCCATTTTTTGTGAGCTCTATTGCAAAAAAGTGTGGGAAACACCACATTGTAGCGTGGGTTCTAGTCCAAAGAAAAAATGTTGACCCCATACTAAGAACTGGGAGAAAGCTGTGCTCTGAATCTTTGCGGCTTGGGAACTGAACTGTCCCTTCACACCTCTTTTTGACAAGGTCTGGGGCTTTCAGGTGAAGTGGCGCTGCCAGGTACCTCCAGTGCGCGTGAGGCCTGGTTAGCCCAGTGCAGCAACAGGTGAACTTCATGCACTTTGCAGCGGACTTCCTCCTGACTGGACGTCCACACACCTCTCCTCTCCAACTCTCCTGCCTAAGCCTTTAAGCAGCTGATGTTGCTTGACCTTGAGAAATCTAACAAACCTTTAAAACCTCATGCTTTTGGGAGCCTTCTGTTCCCCAGAAACATAGCCCCACGACTCCCATGCTCTCTATAAACTGTTGCGATTTTTTGCTATCTTGCTGCTTCCCCTTAGCAGCACTTAATGCTTTTTGACACGGCGTAAAATTTGTTTTTTCACAATCAAGATATTAAAGGATTTAGCTGTCAAACCATATAGGTCTGGCATTTTAAATTATTTTGTTGTTTATCTATTTATGCATTTTAGCTGTGGTTCCTTTGATTTTTAAGGTATTCTTTTTTCTTGTTTATCGGCTTACTCAAGTGTTGGAGAAAGATTCCTGAGATAGTAAAGAAAGCCAACCCTCCCTGAGTGCTTCTTGGGTGTCCTTTGATTTCGCAGTGTGACCTCATTTAATTGTGATTCTCAACTTTCAGGCGAGAAAACCAAGGCCTCCAGGTGTTCAAAATTTAGAGAGCCCTTGGGTGCCTCAACAACAAATACACGCGAAGGGAAGAGCCCGGCCCAGGAGGCTGCAGTTTGCAGCCTTTGGTGGTGACCAGAATGGCCAGTGACAGAGTCTGGGGGATGGCCAGCGACAGAGTCTGGGGGAGCCCTGCCAGCCAAGGGCCGGGTGGGAGTAAAGCGGGAACCCGAAACTGGAGGTGGAGTGGGGGGAGAGGAGCAGGGGAGGGGATGGAGCGCCCCCTACATCAGCGACCCGCCGAGCCTCTTCCTCACCTTCAAGGCCACGATGTGGAGGCGGGTCCAAGGGGACCTCCAAGCGAGTAACTGCGAACTGATTTGGAATGGGTGGGACCACGGGGTGAGCCGGGTGGGGGAGGGGGGCCACGTGACCAGTGGCCCGGCCAGCGGCGCGCCCCCCTGCGCCCCTCCTCCCGGCGCCCCCGCCCCGCCCCGCCCCGCCGCACCCGGCGCACAGCGCCGGGCGGCCGTCCGTTGTCCGGGCCGTTGGCGCAGCGCGGCTTTCTGGAAGCCTCGAGGCTTGCGCGGCCGGGGGTCGGGGACGTGGTGCCGCAGCACCGAGCGCGCCCGTGGCGACGTCGGCGGGGAGGGCGCGGAGCGTCGCGGGTGGTGCGCTGCGAGCGGGCCTGCCGGGCCCGGGGCCCCCACGGAGGGCGGAGGCCGGCCCTGCCTCGGGTTTCGCCCCCAAAGTGCCTTTCCTGTGCGTGGCGACGGGACTATCCGAGAAAGGGCGCGGCCGCGACGGTGTTGTCTCCGCAGGGCGGGTCCTCCGACGGCCCGCGGCGACGCGCGGGAAGATGCTCGACGTGCTGGTGCTGAAGGTGAGCGAGCGTCCAGTCCCCGCGGGCCGGCTGCCCTCTCCCCGCGCAGGGGCCGTCTCGGATGGCACCCCGGAGCGCAGATTCACAACAGGGGACATCAGTTAAGGTGTGCCCATGCGTTGTTCGGGACACAAACGGTTATCCGTTGTTTGTCCGGAAGTCCTATTTTACTGGGCGTCCTGTATTTACCAAATCTGGAACCTTAGCGGGAGGGTCCGACCGAACCCCTTCTCCCACGTGGACCCTCACCAGGTTCCCTCGCCCGACAGGGGTCCTTTCTGGTGGAGCCCCACTCTGGGGCCCTCTTGTGACACCACCCCCAATCCCCCCGGCCCTCACACTCTAAACTCTTCCCGCTCGCGCCGCGGGGCCCTGGCTCCCCCACGCGTGCGCCCTGGGGCTCCGATCCTTAGTCCTGGGAGGGGGCTGAAGGGGCGTCGAGCCTGCCGCCAGCTGCAGTTTCCTGTTGCAGGTGAGTGCTGCTTGGGGATGCAGGAGCCGGCGAAGATGGGGCGTGTTCACAAGGTTACCTGGAGGGAGGAGTTTACAGACCAAAAAGAGTGGGTGTCGGTCCGATACAAATCATTTTTTTTTTTTTTAATAATACTCCTGTGGGCAGAGGAGAGGAACATAGCAAATCATGGGATTTTTAGAAACCATCAACTTTCCGCCTCTTGTTTTAGGTGTTATTTAGATGAGCGGGGAGATTTCAGGAACGTTTGAAGTTAACCAACTTTTAGAGAGGATTTGCTGCAAGAGTTTTAGGGGCTTCAGATCTAACTGGCAAACTCTTCTCAATCACCAGTCTTAAACAGGCATCTCCAATTTCTCTTTTGGAAAGACAGGGCTCTCCTGGCGATGTGGATCCTGCCCCCATGCAAATCCACTGGGGCAGAATTTTGACAGGAGTTGGATTCGCAGAACCTCAAGCTTGTGAGCCAGCCCCTTTCTTGGATCCAAGAACCCTTTTCTGTACCCTGTTAGCTCTGGTCTGCCCACACTTACGCTTCTTACCTGTTCACACTCAGCAAATTTTCTATACAATATAGGAGTAGTTCTCTGAGTGTGTTAAAGGTATCAGTTGTAGTTCTCCAGATTAATTTAGCTTTTAGCTGGATAAATTTTTACCCCAACTGCCCATCAGTAAATGAATGGATAAGCAAAATGTGATACCTATAGATATATGTGTGTATATATACACATACTATGGAATATTACTCAGCCTTAAAACAAAAGGCAATTCTGACACATGGTGTAGCACGGATGGATCTCAAAGACATGATGTTAAGTGAAGCCAGATACAAAAGGACAACGGCTGTACGATTCTACTTCTGTGAGGTTCCCAGAGTAGCTAAATTCATAGAGACAGAAAGTAGGAGGGTGTTTCCCAGGGGCTGAGGAGAAGGGGGGAAGGGGAAGTTACTGTTTAATGGGTGCAGAGTTTTAGTGTTGCAAGCTCGAGAGAGTTCTGGAAATGGATGGTGGTGATGGTTGCAGGACAATTGGAATGTCGTTAATGCCACCGGTCAGCGTTAAGATGGCAAATTTTATGGGTGTTTAGCACAATTAAAATTACTCTTAAAATTATTTTTAAATTTTAGCAGTTAATATTGTCATAGATTTTAGAAATAGAAACAACGAGCATTACAAGCCTGTTACGATAAAGCTAATGAAGACAAAGGTGTTGACTAAGAATACGTATTAAGGGGCGCCTGGGTGGCTCAGTTGGTTAAGCATCCGACTTTGGCTCAGCTCATGATCTTGCAGTTTGTGGGTTCAAGCCTCACATTGGGTTCTTTGCTGACAGTCCTGAGCCTGTGGCTCCCTCTCTCTGCCCCTCCCCCGCTCATGCTCTGTCTCTGTCTCAAAAATAAACTATTAAAACTATTAAAAAAAAAAAGAATACGTATTAAGTATTAAGAAAGCAGCCTAGTGTGCCGTTATATCAGGGACAGTGCAGTGGGACGCTGTCGGAATGGTGTACCTGGGCTTTTTCTCCCAGAGGGTCTGCAGGACAAAAGAACTAGCCAGGACATCCTTGATACGCCAGTGATTGGCACAGGAAAAGCCCCAGGGCCCTTGGCCCTGCAGTCAAGCTGTGTTTCTGGACAGCCGGGCGTAGACCTTTTAAGTGGACAGCTTCTGCAGGAGGGGTGGCAGAAGCTAACCATGGGTGAAATGGGTGACATTCTGAGTGCTGGAGGCTGTGACGTCACTAATGTGGGAAGAACAGCTGTCTGCTGGCTCACATAAATGATTTCAGTACTGTCCGTGGAATCCACGAACAGTATTTCAGAGTAGATTTCCTGCCCGGAGGAGACTTGCAGAGATCAAAGCAGCAGCAGGCCGGGGACCCCTCATGACAGCGTGCGTGTAAGAGGGCCACGTCTTAGTCTGGAATTGTCACAAAGTTTTAAAATTAGCATCTTCCTTTTTACAGTGGGTGTGGGAGAGTCTGACTAAAATATCTGAAGTTTTTATGGAAATACTAAACACTAAGGGGAATTGAACAGGAATTAAAGATTAGATGATCTGAATTACACCTGTACATACGCGTTATTGAATGTAGGAAACAAGACCCTCCTTACATTGTTACCTGGGTAAGTAAAAGTAAAGAGAAATAAATAAAGTAGGAAGTAATGTAGGAAAGAGGAGTTAACCATTCCTAAGAAATATTGTAGAGCACACCTAATTCGGTTAAATCCTATTAATTTGTGATGTGAAATACTTAGTCCTCATTGCCAGAAAAAGGACTCTGCTTTTTCTTGAGTAAAATTACTCAAGTTTGAATGGTAGGAGTAGCGGAGGAAAAAAATGGACCAAAATTGTGTGTGTGTGTGTATAAATTTTAAGATTTAAGAATATATATATATATTTTTTAAGATTACACTGATTTTAAAGTTCATTTATTTATTTTGAGGGAGGTCAGAGAGAGGGGGAGAGTGAGAATCCCAAGCAGGCTCCACACTATCAGCGCAGAGCCAGTTGCAGGGCTCAAGCTCACAAAACTGAGCTGAGATGGAGATTTGGACACAACGAACTGAGCCACCCGGGTACCCCAATAGATGATATTTTTTCCATTGGAAATGAAACGGCCATGCAGGGAGGGAAATGTGCAAGACTGGTGATTGCAGTGTGGGTGGTATTGCTTTAGAACCCTGGCCAGAAGCAGCTAGTGTCAGAGGTGGGGAGCTCCCCAACCTACTGAGCCCGGCCTCTCCTAGCAAAGCACGTGATCTCCTGGCTGGTAAAACTGAGCCTGGCCTACATTTTTTTGTTTTAGAGTCAGCCTTTTTTTTTTTAAAACATGAAACACTTTAGTAACTTCAAAGGAGGCCTTAATTTAAAAAAAATGTTTTTTTAGCATTTATTTTTGAAAGAGACAGAGCAAAAGTGGGGGAGGGGCAGAGAGAGAGGGAGACACAGAATCTGAAGCAGGCTCCAAGCTGTCTTCACAGATCCTGGTGTGGGGCTGGAACCCATGGACTGTGAAATCATGACCTGAGCTGAAGTCAGACGCTTAACTGACTGAGCCACCCAGGCACCCCTGTTTACGCGTTTTTAGTAAAAATACTGTAAAGATGATTTCATATCAGAGGACAAGAAGCTGAAAAAAAAAATCATTACTTGTGATTAAAAATAATTTAGAAATCTGACTTTTTATTAAGGAATATTCTGGACATACAAAGTATTTTATAAAAAAAAAAATCACAAACACCTGGACATCCACCACTGAGCTTTGTCAAATCTTTTAACATTTTGCCATACTTGATTCACATCTTTTTTTAACCCATAAGCTGTTTTAAATTGAGGTATGATTTCTATGTAGTAAAATACATTATTTTTCCTGTAGAATCCCATGACATTTTTTTCAAGTTTTAATTTAAATTCTAATTGTTAGAATTCTGTGGCATTTTGAAAAATGCAGACAGTCCTGTAATCACTACAGTCACAATGGAGAGCAGTTCCCTCCCCCGTCCATTACCTCCTGTTCCTTTGTAGTTCTTTCTTTGCCGCACTCCTAATCCTTTGCAGCCATGGTTTTTTACCCTGTTAGTTTCGCCTTTTCCAGAACGTTGTGAAAATGGAAACATGCACATGGAATCATGCAGTAGGATGTAGCCTCTGAGTCTGGCTTCCCTGACTTAGCACAATACCTGTGAGACTGCCTGGCTTGTTGGCATGAATCATAATGTCTAACCTTTTTACTGCTGAGTAGTGGTCCATTGTATGGATATGCAACAGTTTGTGTAGGCACCAGTTGAAGGCCACTCGAGTTGTTGATAGAGCTTGGGGGGATTATGAATAACACTGGTGTAATCTTTTCATGTAAGTTTTTGTGTGAACACGTTTCATTTCATAGATAAATAGGTTTAGATTACCTGTCTGTTTAACTTCATGAGAAAATTTTCCACAGTCACATACCATTTTACATTCCCATCAGCAACGTAGAAGTGTTCTAGTTGCGTGGCAACTGGCCGGCTCATTTGGTTGATTGGGTGACTCTCGATCTTGAGGCTGAGAGTTCGAGCCCCACATTGGATGTAGAAATTACTTAAACATAAAATCTTAAAAAAAAAAAAAAGTTCTAGTTTCTCTGCATCCTCACCAGCCTGTGAAATGGTCAGTTTTATAAATTTTAGCCATTCTGGTAATGTTTGGTGTATAATGGTATCTCATTGTGATTTTAATGTGCATCTTCTAATGACAGGTGATATGTTAATCACTTTTTCAGGTGCTTGTTTGCTGTCCTTCAGTCTATTTTGGTCAAGTGTCTGTTCATATCTGTCCATTTTTCTAATTGGTTGTTTTCTTAGGGAGTTTTTAGAGTTTATGTATGGTGGATGAAGTTCTTTGTTGGATGTGATTTGCAAATATTTTCTCCCAGTTTATGGCTTTTCTTCTGCTTAGTAATATCTTTCAATGAACAGAAGTTTTTGGGGTGCCCGGTGGGGCTCAGTTGGTCAAGGTTCCAACTCTTGATTTTGACTCAAGTTGTGATCTCACAGTTCATGAGATCGAGCCCTGTGTTGGGCTTTGCACTGACAGTGAGGGGCCTGCTTTGGTCTTGGTCCCTCTCTCTCTCTCTCTCTCTCTTTCGCTCACTTTCACTCTCTTTCTCTCCCCCTGCCCCTTCCCTGCTTGTGTGCATACACACTCTCTCTCAAGATATAAATAAAAACTTAAAAAAAAAAAGGAGCATTAGTTTTTAATTTGGGTTAAGTCCATTTGTCAATTTTGGCTCATACAAATTATACTTTTGGTGTTATATCTAAGAAATCTTTGCCTAACAAAGATTCACAAAGATTTTCCCGTGTATTCTTTTAAATTAAAAAAAATTTTTTTTAAGTTGATTCAGTTTTGAGAGAGACAGAGAGAGCAAGCAGAGGAAGAGCAGAGAGAGAGAGGGAGAGAATCCTAAGCAGGCTCCACATTGTTAGCACGGAGCCCGATGCAGGGTTCAAACCCACAAAATCACGGTCATCGAAATCATGAACTTAGCCGAAACCAAGAGTCAGACATTAACTGGCTGAACCACCCAGGTACCCTTCCCCCATGTATTCTTTGAGAAGTTTAACAGTTTTTATATTTTAGATATATGATTTATCTGAGTTAATTTTTGTATTGGTACAAGGAATGGATCAAAGTTCATTTTTGTGCATATGGATACCTAATTGTTCTAGTATCATTTGTTACAGAACTACCCTTTCTCTAGTAAATTGGTTTTGTGCCTTTATTGAAACTTAATTGATCATGTGTGGGTCTGTTTCTCTTGTTTTATGTGTCTGTGCTTTCTCCAGTGTCACATTGTTCTGATTACTGTGGCTTTATGGTAAGTCTCGAAATCGGATGGTTCAAATCTTCCAACACTCTTGTTATTTTTCAGAATTTTTTGGACCATTCTAGTTCCTTTGCCTTTCTAATAAGAATTTCATAATGAGTTCAGCAATTTCTCAATTTCTGATGGGATGGAGTTGTATTTATAGATCGTTGAGGAGAACTTTAACATCTTATCAGTGAACACTGTATATTGGCATTAAAGGTCTTCCTTGATCTAGTTCATTAGTTTGTATACCTTTCAACACACATTTTGCACATATTTTGTTAAATTCATTTCAGTAATTCCTGTTTTTTGGTGCACTTTTTAAAAGTTACATCTCCAGTTTTCATTGCTGGAGTATGATGTACAATTGAATTTATTATTTGACCTTGTACCCTGGAACCTCGTTACAGCCGCTTACTGGCTCTAATATATTTTTGGTAGATTCTTTAGGATTTTCTATGTAGATGTTCTTGTTTGTGAATAGAGACAGTTTTCTTTCTTCATTTCCAATCTTCCTGAAAATCTTTTTCTCATCATATTATACCAACAAGCACCTCTTGTATGGTGTTGAATGATTGTCCTGAGCAGGCCACTAGTAAATTTTTTTGTGTGTGTTTTACTTTTTAGGTCTGGAATTAACCTTTTCAAAAGGGTTTTTTTGTTAGTAGTTTCTATTTTTTACATGAGATTCTTCTCTTGAGAAAACAAACGCAGTATAACCATCTTATCCTTAAGTTGTTGTGCATATTTAAAACAGGTGCTTTTTTCCTTAATGTTTATTTTATTTTTTTTGAGAGGTAGAGGGAGACACAGATGAGCAGGGGAAGGGCAGAGAAGGAGAGAGACACAGAATCCAAAGCAGGCTCCAGGCTCTGGGCTGTCAGCACAGAGCCCAATGTGGGGCTCGAACCCACAAACCATGAGATCATGACCTGTGCCGAGGCTGGACGCTCAACTGACTGTATAACAGCTCCTTTTAAGTCCTTGCCAGTTCATGTCAACACCTGGGCAGTCTTGGCTTCACTTTCTTCTACTCAGTGTTGTTTTCCTTGGCCACATACCACCTATTCGACTCTTTACATGGCTGGTAATTGCTGCCCTGGATATTGTGGTTCTGCTAAAGTGTGTTGACCTGTGCCTTAGGCACTTGCTCTGTCCTCCCTCTGGGAGGCTTGGTTTATGCTTTTCAAGCACCTGTTTGCTTTGGCCCTTACTGCTAGGCCACGTTTTACTTTGCCCGAAAGCGTGATCTTGCATTCTTAGGCGTGACACGTCAGGGGGCTCTGTGGAGGGCCTGCGGTGCCTACCAAGCCTCTGTAATTTGGCAGGACTCACAGACGCTATCCTGTGATGGGTGCCAGGGACAAGGGCCAACAGTAGTTAGAGCCTTGGCTGCTGGCTGTGAAGGAGCTGGGGAAGGGCAGTGGTGGCCGAGCTCTGTAAAGGAAGGCAGAGGAAGAGGAGGGGAGGGGCTCCTGTGAAAACCAACCCAGGGCTGGTCAGTGTCCTGTGATTAGGCCAGCATGTCTGCTAGCCCAGGAAGGAGGCTTCTGTCCCTGCCGCCTGGCTGATTCCAGGTCACAGGAATGGCTTTCGAGTCCTTGAGAAAGACTCCTGAGCAGTGGGAGAGGCGTGCACATCTCAAGGGGACAGGAAGGACGGGCACCTGTAGGCCCTCTTGAGGAAATGCTCACAGGAAGGGAGGTGGAGCAGCTCTGTGGGAGGTTGGCTACAGCAGACCGTGAGTTGCCCTGGCAGCCTTGGGGTTCCCCAGGCAGGCATCTTACAGGGCTGGGATCGTCCTCGGGACACGCCTCCCAGTACAGAGATTAGGGGGTGTCACATGCAAGAGTGTGCAGTTCTCACAGGCAGCAGCTAAACCTGTGGTGTTCCTGTCCGCCCTATAATGGTTGCTTTTCTCTGGGCTGCTGGGCTCTTACCTGGGCGATGCAGCCTTGCCAAGGACTTGGCTCTGCCCAGTGCAGCGCATTCAGAATTTCTCCCTAAACTTACAGCTACTCCTGGAGCGCCAAACTCCATTCTCTGCTTCCTCATGCCCCACACTGTGGCTTTCTGCCTGTGTCGTAGCCCCTCAGCCTGGGCTGGAAAGCTGTACCCAAACATGGATCTCACCCAAGGTGTACCCCGCCTGGCAAGCATCCAGTCCCTCCGGGTCTAGTCTCTCCAGGGCCTTCAAATTGTTATTTTGTGTTTTTTTTCTAGGGCTTCTCATTGTTGCTTGTAGGGGGTTAGTCCGTGTAAACTATTCTGCCATGAACTGGAGCCAGAATGGCCCTCTCTCTGTTCTTTTTTCCAACAATTTACTATTAAAATAGTCAAACATTTATAAAAAGAGAACGTTTGAAGTGAACACCTGTATTCCTGCCATCTAGTACCTAGGATCCAAAGTCTTGGGGGGAGGGGCGCCTGGGTGGCTCAGTCAGTTAAGAGACCAACTTTGGCTCAGGTCATGATCTCATGGCTTGTGAGTTCGAGCCCCATGTCAGGCTCTGTGCTGACAGCTCAGAGCCTGGAGCCTGCTTCAAATTCTGTGTCCCTCTCTCGCTCTGCCCCTCACCCACTCTTGCTCTCTTTCTTAAGAATAAATAAAAACATGTAAAACAACAACAGCGTCTTGGGAAGTCATTGCTCTAGCCATTTCAGTAGGCAGAGTTAGGAAATAAGTATATTTTAGAAGTTGTGAGTTCCTATTGATACTTCAATTCAAATTTATTTATTTATCCTAAAGTTGATATATTTTGAGAAAGAGAAAGAGCAGGAAAGAGGCAGAGAGAGGGATCCCAAGCAGTCTCAGCACTGGCAGCTCAGAGCCCAACACAGGGCTCAAACTCAACGAACTATGAGATCATGACCTGAGCCGAAACCAAGAGTCGGACGCTTAACTGAGCCACCCAGGTCCCCCTCAATTCAAATTTAACTTTTCATTTTATGTTTGTGTGTTCTCTCTAACAATGAACATCTTGGTTTCTAAGAACACTGATCTATAACTAGATACATTCAGATAGTCTGACTTTCATCCCTGTCCCTTCTCTTCCTGGCTTCTTGTAGGTAGTGACTTGTATCTGTTCTGGTTTATCTGCTGTCATTTCTTCCTTTTAATATGAGCAGAGTATAGATGTATTCCTATTTCCTTCTCTTTCTTACAAAAGACAGCGTATGGTGAACATTATTTGGAACCTTGCTTTTGTTTTTTTATTGCAAATATTTAAAAAATATAGGAGATCGAGGGGATTGATCTCAGTTTGCTTTTTGACTCATGGCACATAATTAAAAACTACATATTATTGGTTATGTTTTTTAATTTTTTTAATTTTTTTATTTATTTTTTAATATTTTTATTTATTTCTAGGAGAGAGAGAGAGAGAGACAGGGGAGGGTCAGAGAGAGAGGGAGACACAGACTCTGAAACAGGCTCCAGGCTCTGAGCTGGCAGTCAGCACAGAGCCCAACGCGGGGCTCGAACCCACAAACCTCGAGATCATGACCTAAGCGAAAGTCGGACGCTTAACCGACTAAGCCATCCAGGCGCCCCGGTGTTTTTTTATTTTTATGTGTTTTAGGATTTTATCTTTGCATCTTATACCTTTTTTTCCCAGCTTTATTGAAATATAATTGACATATAACATTCTGTAAGTTTGAGGTGTACAGCGTAATGAGTTGATCTATATGTGAAGGGTCTTTTATCTTTTGCCTTTGGTGTGACTATTTAAGACAGAGATACGCATCAAGAATTTGTTAGATCATGTAAGTTAATAACAGTTACCATGCTTCTAAGGTTTATTATTTTATGGCTTTACTTTTAAATCATGCATTGTTTTGTTTGTCTTTTACAATTTTTACAGATTGAAGATCCGGGATGCTTCTGGGTTATTATAAAAGGATGTAGTCCCTTTTTAGATCATGAAGTTGATTATCAAAAACTAAATAGTGCCATGAATGACTTCTATAATAGCATGTATCAAGATATAGAAATAAAGCCATTAACGTTGGAAGAAGGGCAGGTATGTATCTAATGTGCTTTAAGCACTGTGTCTTGAACTACTACTTGAAATGTACACTGTTTTGTGGATACAAGCTTTTAGCGTATTTTAATTGCTTATAATCATTGCCTTGTGTTAGGTTCTTCCGGCTGCACAAGATTCAGGCTGGTCTTGGAAAGCGGAGGTTGTTGAAGGTTCATGTGGGGCATCAGGAGATGAAATGTCATCCAAATTGGGGCATTGGGGTGGTCCTCCTGGGGGCAGGGAGCCAATGGATTCCAAATCCATCACAGGTGTGAGGGCCCAGGCAAGAGGGCATGGGAGTTTTTGGTCTAGGGTGATGCCTCTCTTTTGCTGCTCATGACTTTGACCAACTCACCCTTGTTTATTTTCCTTACTTGAAGTCACGGCCCCTCCTTCCTTTCTTGACATTGGCTCCCAGGCTCATTGATTCTCTCTACATATCAGTCATTTTTCAGGAGAGTTTGAATTTTTGTAATAGCATGATAGGAAAAGATTTATAAACTATGAGAAAAATTAGAAATAATTTGAATTCCTTCCCCCTTCCAAAAAAAATCCATCAGTAATAACATTTTTTTTTTTCTCCATACTACTGACTTGTTGAAGAAATGAAACCCGGTCAATTGCCCTTTCAAAATATTCCACAATTTGGGTAGCCTGAGTGCCTTCTTGTGGTGGTGGTGAACTTTCCCTCCTTCCCCTCTGTTTGTTTTTTTTAATGTTTTATCCATTTCTAGGAAAGAGAGAGAGACAGCATGAGCAGGGGAGGGTCAGAGAGAGAGGGAGTGACAGACTCTGAAACAGGCTCCAGGCTCTGAGCTGGCAGTCAGCACAGAGCCCGACCTAGGGCTCAAACCCACGAACCGCGAGATCATGACCTAAGCGAAAGTCGGACGCTCAACCGACTAAGCCACCCAGGCGCCCCACTCCTTCCCCTCTGTTTTATGTGGACTGTTAGTTAAAGATAAAGCTTTGATTAGATTTAGGGTTACTTCCTCCTCCTCCCCTCCCCCCGACCCCTGTCAGAGTGGTTGGGACTGAGAGCTTCATCCTGCATTGACTTTGGAAGTAATCTCACTTTGGGTGAAGACCAGCAGATTCAGACGGTGACAGCCTGAGCCTTCCCTCCGGGTGGGGTCTGCCTGACAGCTCTTCTTGCCCTGACTGACAGCACCACACGGTGACCAGCACGGCCGGAATCAGCCCTTCCAGTTGAGCTTGCAAAATGGTCCTTTTCACATTCTTTCTGTATTCATGAGTCCGAATTCATCTGCAGAGAACTTTCTCTCCCCTATTAAGATGGTTCAGTGACCCTGAAGTAGTACAGTTCCTGCTGGAAAGGTAGGAAAGTTGCTTAATTCTTTTCCTTCCCAGTGTTCTGCCTTCCGCCTAGTGATTTGTGCCCAGTTACCTACACCAGTGTCAGAGATTTATGTTGTTTTTCTCTCCTTCTTTTCATTTTTTAAGTACTGTATTTAAAAAAAAATTTTTTTTTTAATTTTTTATTTCTGAGAGAGAGAGAGACAGCGACAGCATGAGCAGGGGAGGGTCAGAGAGAGATGGAGACACAGGATCTGAGCAGTCAGCACAGAGCCCGACACGGGGCTCAAACCCACAAACTGTGAGATCATGACCTGAGCCGAAGTCGGACGCCTAACCGACTGAGCCACCCAGGCGCCCCTTAAGTACTGTATTGAACTCATGGGTTTTAATGTATTCATCAGTAGTAATCCCTGTTCCTGATGCTTCAGTTACCCCACTTCGGGCTAGCGGAAGCCCTGTGAGTCGCCAGGTCAAAGCCGACTAGCTGTGTCAACTATTAACTGTTTACACCATTCCTACAAGTTGCTTTGACCTAAGCGTTAAACAGAAATATTCTCCGTCCTTTTGCAAGATTTCTCTTGAGTCCTTTGGCTTTGGAATCCTGTGAGGCTCCTGAGAAGCCAGCCCTTGCAGGGTGGCTGCATCTAGCGTCCGGCCCAGTTCCCAAGGGCGGCAGTCTCTGTTGGCTCACGTCTTCCCCGTTGGGCCCCTCGCGAGCCTGTGGTCAGCATCTGGTTTGCTTGTCTGGGTTGCAGTCGAGTCTGCTCTGGCCAGGCAGTCCTGGGGACGTTCGGGGTGCCAGGCGGCTGTCACTCCTGCAGGGCGGTTTCCCTAAAAACAAGCTGCAGGCATTTAGGTGGTTTTCGAAGACTTTGTGCGTCACAGGCACTGCTCTAGGTGCCAGGAACATGGCGGGACAGAAGACAGGCGTCCATAGGGTCCTGGAGTCAACATTCAGTTGTGACTGAGAGTAAACAACTGTTGGCGAGCAGGAAAAGCCCCAGGGGAGCAGGATGGGGAAGCCGAGCCTGGGGTGCGGTGTCATGGGGGGTCTAGCCACGTCACTGACCATTATTTGTATGCTTTGTTTCCGATTTGAGAAGGCAAAGCAGTGCATTCTCCTTATTTGGCTTTCAAAAAAAATTGTCCTCAGTTAAGGAGTCCAACTATAGTAAGAGAAGCAATGAAAAAGGATTGGGGTGCCCTGTGTTCCTATTCCCCGCCCAGCGGGGGTTAGTGTGGCAGCCCCGCCTCCACACACGCCTTTCTGTGAGGTAGGGTGTGGGTGGAGATGGTTTGGGAGCACCTTCCGTTGTCCCCCGTGACTTGAGGTCTTCACACCGTTTACTTCGTAGGTCTGTGTGGTTTACTGCCAGGAACTGAAGCGCTGGTGCAGGGCTGTCATTAAGTCCCTCGTGTCTTCGGCCGACCATCACCTGGCGGAGTGCTTCCTGGTGGATTTTGCCAAGTACATCCCGGTGAAATCTAAAAAGTACGTATGGGCACCTGGGTGGCTCAGTCTTGAAGCACCTGGCTTCAGCTCAGGTCATGATCTCGTAGTTTTCGTGAGTTCGAGCCCTGCGTCGGGTGAGTCCCGCTTCTCTCTTCCTTTCTCTCTCTCTGTTCCTTACTCATTTGTGTGTGTTCTCTCTCTCTCTCAAAATAAATTAATTAAAGAGTACATACGTATTTATTTTGCCTGATGCTTTTTAAGGAGACAAATACTAGTTTTAAAGGAGAGCGTCAATTTTTAAAGTAAGGGATAGAGGTCATAAAACTGGGATTATTTTAGCTTCATGTAGGAGCAGCTTGCGGGTTCCAATTCTACATGCAGTCAGTGTTAAGAGCAAGTGGGCAAAGTGAGGATTCCTCAGGCAGCCTTCTTCCACCTTCCTTCCTGGTCTCCCCCCTTAGTGTGGTCAGGTGACGAAGTGGGTCCTCAGGGAGGCAGAAGGTCATCTTGTCCCCCCAGAGGGGACGTGTGGTGGTGCAGCCTCCCATTGCGGGGATTAGCACACCTATCTAAGTATTCCTGGTCATTTTACTTCGCAGAGTGGGGGCGCGACCATCAGTCACATAAGGTGGGGAGACAGTTGACAAGGAGTCCTCATTTACTCCAGGACCGCCTACCAGGACATTAGAAAGCACTATCAACAAGCAAGGCTTTGTGGTAATTTTTTTATCGTTTCCTGTCCCAGAGTCAGAGGATATTGGTTTCATAATTAATTTGAGGACCCTTCTTCCAAAAGACTTTAGTTGCAATGAGAGGTTTATCTTGAGTAGAAGAATTTCATGGCAGAAGGGCTTATCAGACATTGGGAATTGGCAGATATTTAAGAAAAAAATAGTTGCCTTTCTCCCTCATGATTCTGTGCCTTTATAAATAACCATAGTTGTTATAAAAGTAAATGTCGTGTTGAATTGTTTGGAAAGAGTTTTAGTATTTGGAGTTTAAGTTAAGCTTGTTTTGGGCAAGAGAACTCTGTGATTAAAACAGAGCTCCGGGGGGCCTTGCGGGGGAGCGGTTAGGACAGCCACCTTTTTATGAATGGTTGAGACAGGGCGAGGTCAGGCTGCCCGTATGGGGCATCGAGAACCCGCTTTTGTTGGAACGGTACATGCAGGTGGTCTATCGTTTGCCTGAAGAATGGAAATGGACGTGCTGAACGTGTTTTTCAAGTCTGAGTCCCTCATTTTGCAGAGTTGATGAACATGAATTATAAAAACACTGGCTCAGAAAACCCAAAGTTTCTGCTCATTTACAGAAATTTCATGGTAATTCTGGTTGTGTATTGAAACTGATGTTTAAAAATCTTCAATTGAATAAACTTCACGAGATTGTGCATTATTTCCTAGTGTTTTCTCAGTCTGAGGAGCCATGTTAGATGTAATTTTTCTAGTACCTTCCGCCCCCACATCATGAAGTCTTAACAGCAGATACACTGAATATCCACTCATGTGCTATTCACGTATCTGTGCTTTGCTCCCCACCCCAAGAACCAGTTCCATCCCCCCCCCCACTTGAGCAAATGTCTGATAGTTACTTCCTGCTGTTGGTGGCTATGTTAGAAACAGAAAGAATTGGTTTTTGTGTGTCTTAAGTATGTTAATCACATTGGTGTGCTTTAAAAGAAATACCTCACGTGGAAGTTTTCTTTGTAATGGAACTGTTTCTGTTTTGCCCTTAAGCATCCGAGTTGCAGTAGAAACCTTTATGCAGCTTCCCTACCGCGCGAAGAAATTCAGACTGTACTGCACGAAGCCGGTTACGTTACACATTGACTTCTGCGAAGACAGCGCTGAAATCGTGTAAGTGCTGCCTGTGACAGATGCCAAATCGTGGGTAAAAGTCACGAAATCAAGTGGACGATGTTGATAGTGAACCTCTTCCCCTTGGGTGGTGCTGAGGGTGGTGGCCACTTTGTTCCTCACGAGGCAGCTTCTGAGTCGGTGTGTGTGGATCCTGGAACCCGGCCGTGAAGCCCAGTGCCCTGGGTAGCCCCCTCTGTAGAGGCTGCAGTTGAGGGGCCCTTACAGGGGAGCCCGAGCTCTGTGCTCTGCGATTTTTTTTTTAATTGGAAAAAGTAGTAAATTAACTGTAAAGAGACACTTTGGCATGTAGCTTTATGGAGTATTAAAAAAAAAAAAGCCCATCACATTTTTCTCCAGCCTCTCTCTCCCCACCCAGGCCTCTGTGACCTGTCCAGACTCTGAATTTGCAGCTCTCATTCAGTGCTTTCTGTGTTCATTTGCATGGAGCCTTTCATGAAAATCAGAACACACTGCCTTCTCTGCACATTTAACCTAAGAATGTGTGCTGAAGCTCTCCGCTAGTGCATGTACTACCTTCTACTGTTGGACTTTCTGTGGTGAACATAACTGGCTGTCTGCTGACCTTAACCATTCCCCTCTTGAGAGCCAGCTAGAGTGTTTCCAGAGCACTGTGTACAGAACATTTCCCGCAAGAATGTGGATAAATGCCTATAAAACATGGTATGGAGAGAGGTACACGCACGCGTGTACGTGTGCACATATCATCCGCTCCCTCCCGCCTTTGCCTCGCTTTCCTAGGGTTCGGCTGCATCGCCAATTTTAGTGCAGGATGGGTCCCTGCATTGGGCAGTACCTCTGCAGGGGTGTGGCTTCAAGCTCCACTGTCTTTTTTTTTTTTCTTCAAATTTTTAATGTTTTATTTATTTCTGAGAGAGAAAGACAGCATGAGCAGAGGAGGGTCAGAGAGAGAGGGAGGCACCGAATCTGAAACAGGCTCCAGGCTCTGAGCTGTCAGCAGAGAGCCCGACGCGGGGCTCAAACCCATGAACCATGAGATCATGACCTGAGCCGAAGTCAGACACTTAACTGACTGAGCCACCCAGGCGCCCCTCCGCTGTCTTGACCAAGTGCTACCTGAGGTCCTGGGGCAGCCCTCCCCTGCCACCTGGTAACCCACCGCCCTCAGGACTGTGGCATTGTGGGAAGAAAAACTGTAAGGCCTGGCACACTTTGGGCTTAATTGGCATGTCCTGATGATGTTGCATTGTGTTCTCTGAACCGGGAGGCCACCCCTCTTGTGGAGGCTTTCGTGGGATCTGTGGAGACCCTCCGTTCCCAGTCCCCGCCCCCCCGCACCTACAGTTCCCTTGAGAGGGTGAGTGCCTCGCCCGTGGCTAGCCTCAGAAGCTGCACCATGAGCCAGCTTGTCCCTGCCGATGCCAGGGCGCCCCGCCAGGCTCCCTGCGGCCAGCCCACATGGCCTCTGCCCTCGGAGACCGTGGGAGAGTGGGTCCCCCACACAGCAGCAGCCCCTGCCCCCTCCCCGTCCCACTTCCGGGGCAGCCAGCTCCTTCCCTCCAGGGCTGGCATCGGGGCGCTCTGTCCACGCCCAGCTGCCCCTCAGAGGCAGACGGTTTCTTGTTCTCCCCCATCTGCGTCACCACCTTCCCAGCACTGCGGTGCTCCCCAGGCACCGTCCCCAGCCTCGGACACCCCCTCTGGGCGGGCACATGTGGTACCTTTGTGTTTGCACTGCATCGGGAACGTCTGGGTCAATGTGTGTTTTACAGTCTCTGTGGATTTTGTCCAACGGTCCTCCAGGGCCCTAGCAGGTTATTCTCGCATCACTGGAGTGTGGAGTGCTCTTTCCTCGTGCAGTGTTGACTAATTTTTTTTTTATTTCTGCTTGTTTGCTGGGTGAAAATGGCATTTTGTTTTTAATTTGCGTTTCTCTAGCTTATAAAGTTGGTATCTCTTCATGTGGTGGTTCTTTGTGTATGAGAAGGAAACAGACTGAATGATTGGTTTACCTGTAATAGCCTAGATTGATTTTTTCCTTTAGGCCATTTTCTTTCATTTTTTTAAACCTTACTAGGTCATTTTTGTGTGTGTAGCAAGGTTTTAGAAGCACTGTCTCAATTTTTTTTTTTTGCCTCCTTTTACAAACCCTTTGATTTTCTTGAAGTAATGTGCTAAATATCTGTTTTAGTAAAAATAAAATAAAACCTTAGCCCAGGCCTGGGGCTGGATGCTTTATGTATGTTACTTCATTTGATCCCTAAAACAGCGCCCGGAGCCTGGTGGTGGCGTCTCTGGGGAGTGAAACTGGCGGAGACAGAAAACCTGTCACTCTGCCCTGAACTTCCGTTATTTTTGTTCCTTGCTTCCAAATACTCCTTGTCTTCCACCGCCTACAGCCCTTAGGGATTTCTTTCCAGAGCACAGGGAAGGGCAAGGTGATGGGAGAAAGCTGGAGGCAGGGGAGAGTGCTGGCCGGGTGGGGATGGCGTGAGGCGCTGATGGCCACTGTCCCCCAGCCGCTCTTACCGTCTTGGCCTAACCAGCGCTGCACACTCAGCGTCCCTGCTCCGGGAGCCTGTGTTCTGGCCGGAGAGACATATGTCTCAGGTCTCTGGGGAGGGGACACTGGTGAGGGGACAGGCGATGCACTAGTGGTGGGCGTGGGCCGCTCAGGAAGCCCCAAGGGGGCCTGTTCTCTGTGAGGCCCTGCACTGGGTGGCAGCAGAGACAGTGGCAGGAGGAGTCCCCTGCAGGGCGCGGCTGGGACCACCCTCCCCCCCACCCCCCTGCCCAGGGCAGAGCCAGGCCCACCTCCCCGGGCCCCCGCATCACATGTTCACCACACAGTGTCAGAAGCAGCCAGCGGGTGGCTTGCAAAGAGATGTTGGTGTCCCAGCCTCACATTTGTGTTTGATAAGGCGGCATCTGTTTACTGTTGCAGACCTGCCAAGAAGTGGGACAGCGCAGCTATTCAGTACTTTCAGAACATCCTGAAAGGTAAGGCAGGTGCATCATCGCCGCAGCCTGCTTTGACCTGACCCCCAGGGGGGTTAGCTTTCTGTTGGCGCAGGGGCTTGAGACGTGTGTGTTCATCTGTTACCTGGTGCTCCTCCCACCCTGCATCACAGTGACTCTGCACCCCTGAAACTTTGCGGGTGGGTGTGGCTGTCCATAAGGGAGAGTTGACATGAGAAAGGGGCTGTTTGGGTGAGGGCTCCTTCCCCCACAATAAGACCCGCCCCTTGGCGTGCATGCAAGCCGTGTACTGCAAAATACGTGTCTGTGCACGTCGCTAAGCCAGCAACTCACGGAAAGCCTTGCCTTTTTCAGGGATGTGTAATGATCATTATTGCCGATCTAGGATGTGAGATGGCTGGGTGCTGCCTGGCACCTGCTGGGGTCCTGACCCCGCCCCTGCACCGCCCTGGTGTCTAGGTAGCAGGAGAGCCAGATGCTGGGACCTGGGAGACAGGAGAGGTTGGGAGGGTCTCTGGCTGCAGAGTGTGGGCACTGGGAGCCCACTGGGGAACACTGGGAGATACAGGGGTGGAGGAGGCAGAGCACCAGGGATTGCATCCTGCCCTGCAGCCTTCTATGAGCCCCGTCTCCTCGCCCATAAGTGGTGGTGACAGTGGTGACATGAACCACGTTTGCATAGGGCCTGAAGGTGCCCAAGCCTGGAACTGCGGTGTGGGTTCCTGGGTCTCAGAGAGGCGCCAATAGCTCCCTTTGACGGGGCATCAGCAGCATGGAGGCACTCAGGCGAGAGACTGAGTCGGTGGATTCGGGAGGCACTGGAAGGGAAGGTGGCCAAGAGCTGCTCAAGGTGTTGGTAGGGGCAGGGGGTGGAGGGCACGGGGCTGGCTCCAGGCTGGGAGAGCCTTCTTCGTGTCTGACCGCCCACCGCCTCCCAGGGGGAGGTCGCCGGCCTTGGTGGCACTGGGTGATGCTAAGTGGTTAGCACAGATTAATAGGCGGAATGTAACTGCTTCAAGTATACTTATCAGCTCATAATTTACGTTTGTTCATTTGTGCTGTTTAGCAACTACCCAGGTGGAAGCCAAATTGTGTGCTGTGGAAGAAGATACTTTTGAGGTCTACCTTTATGTAACTATAAAAAATGAAAAAGTAAGTGAAAGAATTGCATTTACAAAATATTTTGTCATCATTTAAATTTTTTATTTTAATAAAACAAAGAGTAAACACTAAGGAAAAGAACGTCATTCACACATAAGGACCCCTGGGTGGCTCGGTCAGTTAAGTGTCCAATCACACAGATCATGAGATTGAGCCCCACATAGGGCTCTGTGCCCAGCGTGGAGCCTGCTTGAGATTCTCTCTCTGTCCCTCCCCCGCACACACGTGCACATTCTCTTGCTCTCTCAAAATAAATAAATAAACTGTAATAAAAAAGTTGGGGCTCCTGGGTGGCTCAGCCTGTTGAGCGTCTTGACTCCGGCTCAGGTTATGCTCACAAGGTTCATGAGCACGAGCCCCGCATCAGGCTCCCGGATCTCAGCACAGAGCCCGACTTGGGCCACCATTTCGTGAACTGTGACATCATGACCTGAGCCAGAATCAAGAATCAGACGCTTAATTGAGCCACCCAAGTGCCCCCTAGGATGTAATTTTTATAAATACACATATTTGGCATGGTTTGAGTTCACTGCTTTTTTTTCTTCGCATAATTTTGTCACTGTGTAATATGTGCTCATTGTAGAAAATTGAGATAACAAAGTAGAGAGGAAGTGGGCACAATGTGAACTCCCTGCCCCCACTTATCAGCTGTTAACATTAGGGTGGCTGTCCCCTTATGGAGGGTGGCACAGGGCAAAAAGATGCAGCAACAGATGGCATCTTAACCATGGATTTATTTTATTTTTTAAAATATTTTTGGAGGCGCCTGAGTGGCTCAGTTGTTTGGGTTCTAGCTTCAGCTCTCAGGCCATGATCTCGAGGTCTGTGGGTTTGAGCCCCACATAGGGCTCTGTGCTGACAGCTCAGAGCCTGGAGCCTGCTTCTGATTCTGACATTCTTTCTCTCTACCCCTCCCAAGCTCATGCTCCGTCTCTCTCAAAATTAAACATTAAAAAAATTTTTATTTTGAGGGAGAGTGCAAATGCACGTTTGAGTGGGGGCGGGGGGGTCCAGAGAGAAAGGGAGACAGAATCATAAGCATCCTCCGCACTATCAACTATCAGCCCAGAGCCTGATGTGGGGCCTGAACCCACAAACCATGAGATGATGACATAAGCTGAAATGTGAGGGTCAAACACTTTAACTGACTGGAGCTACCCAGGTGCCCCTAAAATGCTGTTTCAGTAAATCCACAAATCTAATTTGAATTTTGCCCATTTCCCCCTTGATTTCCTTACTCTGCCTAGGACATGATCCAAGATCTCCTGCTGTCTCCTTGGGCTCCTCCAGTCCGTGATGGTTCCTCGGTCTTTCCTCATCTTCTAAGACCTTGACACTTCTGGAGGGGTTGTTCAGTTATTTTGTAGAATGTTGCTCAACTTGGGTTTGCATGATGTGATTAGATCGAGGTGGTGCATTTGGGGCAAGGATGTTACAGAAGTGACGCCCGTGCCCCCGTCTGCATCCTCGCAGGGACGTTCTGATGTTGATACGTGGTGTTACTGCTCAGGCTAACCTTGGTCACCTGGGTAAGGTGGTGTCTGCCAGGTGCACCCTGCAGTTACTGCTTTTTCGTTTTGAAATTGTTAAGTATCTTATGGGGCGTTATTCTGGGGCTGTGCAAATACCCCTCAGTGATTCTGCCTGCAATGCTTATTTCTGTGGTGCTTGCCCCTTTCTGTCAGGCCTTCTACATTAAAAAATTATTTTTTTAACATTTATTCAATTTTGAGAGACCAAGAGAGACAGAGTGTGAGTGGGGGAGGGGCAGAGAGAGAAGGAGACACAGAATCCGAAGCAGACTCCAGACTCTGAGCTGTCTGCACAGAGCCCGATGCGGGGCTTGAACCCACGGACCTCCAGATCATGACCTGAGCTGAAGCTGGACACTTAACCGATTGAGCTACCCAGGTGTCTCAGGCCTTCTACATTTTTTTTTTTTTTTTTTTTATTTCTAGGGGAGAGAGCGAGACAGCGCGAGCAGGGGAGGGTCAGAGAGAGAGGGAGACACAGACTCTGAAATGGGCTCCAGGCTCTGAGCTGGCAGTCAGCACAGAGCCCGACGCGGGGCTCGAACCCACGAACTGTGAGATCATGACCTAAGCGAAAGTCGGACGCTTAACCGACTAAGCCACCCAGGCGCCCCGACTTCTACATTTTTTGATTGGAGTTCTATAAAGAACTGGCCCTTTCCCCCCCATTTATTAGTCGATTCAGTAATTTATCTTAGTATAGTCTCTGGGCTCTTTGTTTTACTCTAGGGGATAGAATCCATTACCGTCCTTAGTATCTTGCTCAAATTGTCGCATATTTGGCCATTAGCAGCTTCTTCAGGGTGGCCTATGCATCCTTTCAGTGTACCCCATCGTGGAAAACTTTCTACATTTTGGTTCCATGAGATGCTCTAGGCTAATGTTGTCATTTTCCAGCCCAGCTCTGGAATCAGCTGCTTCTTGAAGAGTGATATTCAGAGAGTAAGACCAGGGCACGAGGTGTGCTCATGGCTCCCGGGGGTCAGTGACTGTAGGCCCCTCTGCAGACAGGAAGCACGTGGACGTGCACCCATCCTTGTACACACTGCTCTGCATCTCATTCCAGTCCGGCATCACGGGGTTCTTTCTGGCCCTCCCGGTTCCTTATCTTGACACCTACTCTGGACCCTGCCCTGGTTAACTACCATATACTTACTTGATTAATCCTAGTATTCACATAAAGTAAATCTGGAATTGCTCGCCCACATTCCCATGAAAAAGAAGTTTGTCCTTAGCCTTGGAGCATGCAGCCAAAACACTGTATTCCAAAGCTACTTAGGTTGGTGGTTTTCTTCCCCACCTTTCTTCCTTGTGATGATATTATTCATTTGGCATAAGGTTCACTTGTTACTCTTTGGGTTCCCCCACATCCTTGTCAATTGCACATTGCTTATTTCACATTTCATTGCTTATTTTTCACTTTGGTAAAAGTAACAAAATGTTGGCCCTTGGACCAGTCTTGTAAAACATCTTTTAAAAAAGTTTTTTAATGTTTGTTTATTTTTGAGAGACAGAGTGCATGTGGAGGAGGCACAGAGATATGGGAGACACAGAATCAGAAACAGGCTCCAGGCTCAGAGGTGTCAGCACAGAGCCCGACACGGGGCTCAAACTCACAAACTGTGAGATCATGACCTGAGCCAAAGTCGGACGCTTAACCAACTGAGCCGTCTAGGTGCCCTGTAAAACATCTTTAAACAAGTTCTTTACAGACTTCTTTCTTCTTGCTGTTCCAGTAGGTCTCTTTCCCTCTGTGTGTGGCTGTGTGCAGATAACTCGTTCTTACTTCCGGGGGTGGGGGTGGGGTGGTGGAGTGCGGAATGCATGCTTATTAGCACAGAGAACTTACAGTAGGTGCATGAGGTCATAATTGTCAGGAAAAGAAAAACAGGGTGCACCGTCTGCTTCCAGCTCTCTAAGGAGGCACAAGGTGTTTTCTTTTTTACCTGGCTTCTTTTACTCAGCAGAATTATTTTAGCATTTATCTACTTTATCCCTTTTATTGTCAAATACTTTTCCATTGTCTGGATGTATTACAGTGTATTTATCCATTCACTTCTTGGTGGACATTGGAGTTTTGGCCAGTTTGGGACTTAAACAAAACTGCTATGAATATTCATGTGCAATTCTTCCTGTGAACCCATGCATTCATTTTTCTTGGGCAAATACCTAGGAGTCAAATTTCTGGGTGGTATGGTTGGTATTGAGAGATTGCCTATTGTTTTCCAAAGTGGTTAACTATTTTATGCTCCCATGAACAATGTTATGAGTGTTCTGGCTCCTCCACTTCCTCTTCAACACTTGTCTGGCCACTTTGATAGGTGTGTAGTGGTATCTTGTTGTGGTTTAACTTTTCATTTCCCTAATGACATGATGTTTCGTGTCTTTTCATAGGCCCTTGCAATCCACGTATCTTCTTTGATGAAGTATTCAGATCTTTTGCACGTTTTTGATAACATTTTAAATTGAAATATAGTTGAATACTTAATGTTATATCAGTTTGAGATGTACAGCGTGGTGATTTAATAAACCTGTATGGCGCTCTGCTCCCCGCAAGTGTGGCTACCATTTGTCACATGCAACACTATTATAATACCATTGACTGTATTCCCTATGAACCTTTTATTCTTGTGACTTCTTCATTCCAGAACTGGAAGCCTGTATCTCCCACTCTCCTTCACCCATTTGTACATTCCCCTTCCCCCATCCCCTCTGGCGACCGTCATTTCTCTGTATTTATGGTTCTGTGCCTGCTCTTTGTTTGTTTCTTCATTTGTTGTTTTTTACATTTGACATTTAAGTGAAACCATACAACATTTGTCTTATCTCTGACTTCTTTCACTTAACATGGTACCTTCTAGGTCCATCTGTGGTGTTGCTAATTGCAAAATTCCATCCTTTTTGTGGTTGAATAATATTCCATTGTATTTTACCCTTTTTAAAATGGGTTGTTTGTCATCTTTTTATTGAGTTTTGAGAGTTCTTTATATATTCTGGATACATGTCCATCCAGAGAGAATATTTTAAAAATATTTCCTTGGGGCACCTGGGTGGCTCAGTCAGTTAAGCTTCCAACTTTGGCTCAGGTCATGATCTCACAGTTCATGATTTCAGGCCCTGCATTGGGCTCTGTGCTGACAACTCAGAGCTCGGAGCCTGCTTCAGATTTTGTGTCTCCTCCTCTCTCTGCCTGTCTCCTCTTTGTGTTCTTTTTCTCTCAATAATAAATAAACATTTAAAAATATTTTCTCTCTGTAGATTGCTTTTCATCTCTTTTTTAAAATTTGTTTGTTTATTTATGAGAGCATGAGTGGGGAATGGGCAGAGAGAGAGGGAGAGAGAGAATCCCAAGCAGCCTCCAAGCTGTCAGCACAGAGCATGATGTGAGGGGCTTGATCCCAGGAACCATGAGATCATGACCCGAGCCGAAATTAAGAGTTGGACACTTAACTGCCTGAGCCATCCAGGTGCCCCCGTTCTTCCTCTTAACAGTGTTTTTTGAAAAGCAAATTTTAAATTTTCATAAAGTCTGATTTATCAGTTTTTCTTTTTTTAAGCTTATTTTAAAGTTTATTTATTTTGAGAGAGAGAGAATGTGTGCATGTGTGTGTGCACAAGCAGGGGATGGGCAGAGAGAGAGGGAGAGAGAGAATCCCAAGCAGGCTCCACGCTGTCAGCACAGAGCCAACTCCCATGGGCTGTGAGATCTTGACTAACTGAGCCACCCAGGTGCCCCTATCAGTTTTTCCTTTTATGATTCGTGCTTTGCCTTTGCCAACTGCCCAGGTCTTTGCTTGGCAGAGTCTTGTTAGCTCTCCAGTGCTTTCAAGAAGATTTTTTTCTGTTTTGTCCAGATTCTTCCTGTTTTTCTTATCAGCTGGGCTGGTCAGAAGTATCTAGCTCGTCATCACCAGGGCAAAAGTCGAGAAATTGGTTTCTATCAGATTATGTCCTATAAAATAATTTTTTCTGAAGACTGAAATTTGGGGTCCAGTTTGGGATATTTTCTAAACAGTCATTTATTTGACTCTCTTTGTCTTATTCATGAAATGTCCGAAATTGTACAGGTCTGTGTTAACGATGATCTGGTTGCAAAGAACTTTGCTTGTTACATATCCCCCAAGGAGAATAAGAACCTTCATTCTGTAGAGAAGCCACGATTGAATAGAAAGTCGGCATCCTTTTCCAGTAAACTCAATCCAGCCCTTACTCTTTGGCCAATGTTTTTGCAAGGAGAAGATTCTCAGGGAATGGAAAGTGAGTGTATCCTCATCGATATACATGGTGGTTTATTTATTTATTTTATTATTATTTTTTTTTTACATAGTGTTTTTTTTAAATTGTCTTATTTGTATAAATCTCACTGTACTGATGTAAGCTGTGCATACTTTCCCCATATGGAGGCAGAGACTTGGACTCTGAATTTAATATTTTAATTCTAATTCTAGTGATTTTGTGACGTTTTGAGGTCCCTATCAACAGGACATTTTTTAAATGTTTTATTTATATCTGAGAGAGAAGGAGAGACAGCGTGAGCAGGGGAGAGTCAGAGAGGGAGACACAGAATCCGAAACAGGCTCCAGGCTCTGAGCTAGCTGTCAGCACAGAGCCTGATGCGGGGCTCGAACCCACGAACCGTGAGATCATGACCATAGCTGAAGTCGGACACTTAACCGACTGAGCCACCTAGGCGCCCCAACAGGACATTTTTTTTATGAGACCAGGAAAAAACTGTTCTCAATTTCTTATTAACATGAAGCTACATTTTCAGAAGTCCGTAAGTTCATAATTTAAAGATATTGCTAAAACAACGTCACATGTCTACCATGTAAGACACTTTTAATTTTTTTTTAATGTTTATTTGTCATAGAGTGTGAGCAGGGGAGGGACACAGAGAGGAGACACAGAATCTGAAGCAGATTCTGAGCTGTCAGCACAGAGCCCGATGCAGGGCTCAAACCCATGAACCGTGAGATCATGACCTGAGCCAAAGTCGGACTCTCAACCTACTGTGAGCCTCCCAGGCACCCCATTTTAGATACTTTTAGATACTCTTTTAGATAAAAGAGCTGTTTACTAACAGGGAAATCCGAGAAGAGTCTGTCATGGACAGTGGAAACAATTTTAAATGTGTCTCTCTCAACTCCATTTTCCTCAGCCCCTTCACACTGCTTTCCTGCCCCGAGTTAGGTCCCCCCTGACCTCCCAGCAGAGGCGAGAGCTGAAGTAGTAGACCAGCGAATTCGCATTTTTAGTTTGGGTTTATTTCATGCTTTAATCCTGAATTGTGTTCTCTCTGTCAGATTCACATGACTTAACGTTTCTGGCTCAGTCTCGTCAGCATCCGTGGCCCAAGGCTGTTGTTGGTGACCTTGGGCCAGCTGCTGTGATCCTGGGTAAGTTTACATGTGTGAGGCGTTTTGTAGGCAGCATAAAAGACCACTCAGCTGTTTAAAGAGTTTAAGGCTTGTGTAGAAGGGCTGTGGTAACTTTCTCTCTTTCTCTTGGAACCTGTTTATGGCGTAGAAGCTGGCAGAGGTCATTTGCCTTGCAGTCCCTACTGAGAGGGTTTAACTATAACATAAAGAACACACGTAAGAGGTGTCACGTGTAAAACTGGTTTATTCAAGCCCAGCCCCACACCAGTGATGATTATATGTTCTCTGATTATACATACAGGTTTATGATCAATTTTTACTTTAAGCAGCAGCACATATAACGGTGAGAGGCAATTTATGAGGGTAAGAATACCCAGTCTTTAATTCCCTACCTCTGGCGTACATAATGGATTGGAATTGATGGGCAAGAGTGGCATCTGCCAGCTCCTCTGATTGTTGGCTCACCCCCTGCGGTAATTCTTCTACCCCTTACTTCTCTCCCTCTCACGTCAGGCACATGTGTACCTGTGGGAGTGTTGTTGCATGCGTGTAATCGGAAACCTCAACTAAGTTAAAGCTCTCGCCAATGAAATGATTCCCTACGTTTAGTGTTATTTTCAGTTACTTCGGTAATGTTGTTATCACAGAGAAATACAGATATTCAGAGTTTTAAAAACCTGCCGTCTTTAATAATTACTTATTAAAGAGTTTCCAGAGTTCCCAGTTGTGAGGCTGTTTATACCATTTTTCTCTCATCGGAATGAGATTCTACTACACATACATCTGGGTACTGTTTTTCAGTTAACATTGGGTGAACTTCTTTCTGGACACTCAGAGGTGTCCAGGAGCACGTGGCTTAAGGATATGGGCTCTGACGTAAGACAGCTGGAATATCAGTGTCCCTCTCTCCTATGTGACATGGGGAGGCACTGTTCCCATCCCAGTGACCTGATCCACATACAGAGCTTACGTGGCCTGGAGCCTGGCCTGTGGCAGACTTGGGCACATGGGGCCCCCACCCCGTGTTGTGATGTGCCTCCTGCAGGGCTCCCAGATGAGAATTCCTGCTGAAAGGAGCCCCTGTGACTGACTGGAGAAATACAAATGGAAATAAAAATATATGCCCATTTCCACCAGAGTAGGAAAATACCAGGCATTTTACATTATGCTTAATCACTGCACAGCTTTCTGTCATACAGATATCTCATTAGTATTTTAAGTAGCCCGAGATTGCCGGGCAGTAACAGTTTCCCATTCTTCCATATTATAGTCAGTGTTGGAATGGACTACACGTGTCTTTGGAAAGGAAAAGGTTGATGGTAAACTAAAGAAATGCTAATGTGAGATGTAACTGGTTGTCATGTGAAAAACAAAATGATCAGATATTACTTGTCCAAGCAAAGATTCTCCTTTCCCTGTGATCATAGTGACGTGATTTTTCAACTGTGTTTTTTTTTTTTGTAAGTTTATTTATATTTGAAAGAGACAGAGTTACCTGAGCAGGGGAAGGGGCAGAGAGAGAGGGAGACACAGAATCTGAAGCAGCTCCATGCTCTGAGCTGTCAGCACAGAGCCCGACGCGGGGCTCAAACTCCTGAACCGTAAGATCATGACCTGAGCTGAAGTCAAAAGCTTAACCAATTGAACCACCCAGACACCCCTCAACTGTATTTTAATTAATTTGTAGTACTTCTCCTTGAAGTTGACTTACATTTTTTTTTTAATGAAAGTACAATTCTTTGTTAATATGTGGTTAAACACTCAAATAGTACAAGAGTAATGGAAAGTACTTTCCTTCTTGCAACCTCTCCTCACCCCAGACCGTTCCCTAGAGGTAAACCTTTATCTTACCCCTTAGCTATTTATTTTGGTGGTTATCTCCAAATTTTGAAACACTTATGATTAATTTACTATTTCTGGGCTTATCAGTTCTAGACAGACAGTCTTGACTTCTGTGACAGACTAGCTCACGCTCCTGATCCAGGTGCATTTATTCATCAGATGTTCGTTACCACTTAGGCGTCAGGACTATTCTAGGGACTCAGCAAGGAAGGCAGCAGGTATCTGCTTTCATGGGGCTTACATCCATTTTCTCAATGAGATTTCTATTTTAGGATAATCACAGAGAAAAGTTGGAGAGCTTGACAGAGAAGTCTCTTCCGAAAGCATGTGAGAATTAAGCTGCTCACTGGATCTTTCCCCAGTACTTGAGTGTGTTTTTCTAGCAACAAAGGTATTCTCAAAAATATTCACCAAACAGCCAGCAGAATCAGAAAAGTAACATCGACACATCGTGATCAAATGAGCCTCAGACACCCGTCAGGTTCGGCCACTCGTCCCTGCGATTTCTTTGTGGTGGAAGGGTGCGGCTCAGCACCTGTTCCTGCGCTTAGCCGTTACGTCTTCTTCTCTGGAATCATTCCTCAGTCTTCCCTTGACTTTCATTACCCTGACACCTTTGAAGACTATAGACCAATTGTTTTGTAGAATGTCCCTCAATGGGAGCGGATGTTTTTGTCATGATCAGATTCAGCTCATGCACCTGTGGCAGGGATCCCTCCAAAGAGATACTGTGTTCATCTTACCAGGTGACCCAAAACTTTGATTTATCCCATTACTGATGAATTGTTTCCTTAAATTGCTTAATTAAGGTAGCATCTGCCAGACTTCTCCACTGAAAGTTACTGTTCACCTTGTAAAAATATTTTGTAGGCTGCTATCACGAAACATAAATATACCATTCCTTTTTATTTACTAATTAATTCATATTCGTACGGATTCCTGTTTGAAACCCTGAAATCAATCATTTCTCCAAGATTCCCTGGCTTTTTTTTTTAATGGAGAGTGGCATTTTGAAGCCAAGATCTGGGAGCTGGGATTGTTCGTTTCTGTTGCTCCCAGGCCCTTCAGTGGACAGAGCTGAGGACTATGTGCATGTGTACGTGTGCCTCCATATGCTTACATCTGTATTTTCTGTCTATAATCTATGTACTGAAAACCAGGAGTTCACACCACTACTTCCAGTTGTGATCCTGCTACTGGATTTATTCTAGCTTCATGCCCTCCCAAATTTGTTATACCCCTCTGTGACTGAGATTCCTACCTTCCGTTATCCATACTGTAGTTACTGATGGGGTCAATCCTCCTGTATAATCAACCACTCTTTGGTTTTATAAGAAACTGGTTGTTTATGACCACTACTACCCCCCTTTCTGCATAGATGCATTCCTCACTCCATTTGCTGACAGTACTCCCATCCCCTTAAACCTCACCTGTGCCCCTCACTCACCCAGTTCAGGGTGATACCCTCCCTCTGCCACACACAGCCGCCTTGTGGATGCTTTCCTCATTTCTCTTAGACCTAGATCCACCCCCACTTTGGTTCTGCATTCCCACATGGGGTTGCTTCTCACTCCCACCCTTGCAAAGGCACCCTCCTAGCCCTTCTTGGCTCTGAGCCTCTCTCCTCCTCTAGCCCACCCCCCCTTAGGTGCTTACTTAAGTTTGTTTGGTTGGGCTGATATCCTGCTTTGTTATCACCAAGGTCTCTCTGCCAGCACAGATCAGGAGCCCTTTTTTCTGCCTCACCTACCAGTCTTAGGACTGAATTGTGTGAGTTTTGATAGACTTTGCCTTTCAAAGAATTGGTCCAGTTCATCTGTGTTACCATATTCGTGGGCATAGAGTTGTTCATAGTATTCCTTTTTCATCCTTCCAGTGTCTATGGGACCTGTAGTGATGTCTCTTCTTTCATTTCTGGTATTTGTTAACTGTTTCATCTTTGTTTTTCTTAGCCAGGTAGAGGCTTAGTGTTTTTATTGAGTTTTTCCAAAGCAAACCATGCTATGGACTGAGTTGTGTGCCCCCCAAATTCATCTGTTTGTTGAAGCCCTGACCCCAGTGTGATTGTATTTAGAGATAGGGTCTTTAAGAAGTAATTAGGTTAGGGGTGCCTGAGTGGCTCAGTTAAGCATCTGACTTTGGCTCAGGTCATGATCTCACCACTCATGGGTTCAAACTCCACACCGGGCTGTCTACTGACAGCTCAGAGCCTGAAACCTGCTTCGGATTCTGTGTCTCCCTCTCTCTCTGCCCCAGCCCCTCTCAAAAATGAAGAAATGTTAAAAAAAAATTTTAAAAAGAAGTTATTAGGTTAAATGAGGTCATAAGAGTGGATCCCTAGCCCAGTAGAACTAGTGTCCTTATAAGAAGAGGAAGAGACACCGGAGTACTTTCTCTCCTTCATATGGGGATACATAAGAAGGCAGCCATTTGCAAGGTAGGAAGATAGCTCTATAAGTAGTACCTTGATCTTGGATTTCCCAGCATCCAGACCTGTGAGAAAATAAGTTTCTATTGTTTAAGCCACCAATTTATAGTATTTTGTTATGGCCTGAGCCAACTAATGCCAAGCAGCTGTTGGTTTTACTGATTTCCTTGATTATTTTACAATCCCAGCAGAGGTAATGAAATTTTTCTCCCAGTCCAGCAACAACTCAGCCAATGAGAGATGGTCACAACTCAGCCAATGAAAAGTCACTACACTTTAGACTCCCAGTTTACTCCTAGGGACTTTTTGTTTACAAAAAGAGGAGCCTGTCTCTCAGGGGGACAGGTGTCAGTGTCACACTGTAAGAAGAGCCACATGTGTTGTGCGCCATGTTGTGGTCCTCTTTGAAAAATATAGTCTGGTAAGTGGGGAAAGTAAATTATGTTCAGTTCTTGTAAGCCAGTAAAGGAATTCTTTAAACTCTTTTTTATGTGATAAGGGTTGAAACAAGGTTTTTAAAATTTAATACCCTCCAGGTTCAATACAAAATGCTATTCCATAATACTTTCATGTATTAAGATTTTATAATAGTATTTTAAAAATTGTACTCCTTTTTGTCCTGTTTTCTATGAATAGTACTTTCTAAGATAACTCTTTTATCACTTTTTATTTTGCAGATAAAACTATAAACTGTAGTACGGGTTCATTGGGAGGCTTGTCTAAAAAAAAATCTGAAAAGAAGCAACAGCACATCTCTTTGAAAGATATAAATAAGGTTGTATTTTTGAATATTCATTAGACACAAAGTTCATATAATGTTAATTTTAGAATAGTCTCCTTTGAAATCCAAAAATTTATTTTTTAGTAAGAAATCCTTGGCTATGATAGTGCCTTTCAGGAAAAAATACACTTCGTGAGTTTGCTGTATTTCTTTCTCAATTTAAAAGAATTTTTTAAATGTTTACTTATTTTTAAGAGACAGACACAGAGCACGAGTGGGGGAGGGGTAGAAAGAGAGGGAGACACAGAATCTGAAGCAGCTCCAGGTTCTGAGCTGTCAGCACAGAGCCCGACGCGGGGCTTGAACCCACAGACTGTGAGATCATGAGCTGAGCTGAAGTCATGTGCTTAACCGACTGAGCCACCCAGGCGCCGCTGCTGTATTTCTAAAGAACAAGATAACTGCAGCTTCCTTCTTGTTCCTGGCCTCGTGGCTTTTGAACACAACTGTGTGTTTATGCTCATGTGAAAACCTGAGATTACGGGACGTTCTAATAGTTAAGTTCAAGTCCAACCTGTCCTTCCAGTTCGTTTGACAAGACAAGTGAAATAATTATAGGATGTTTGAAATACCGAGTGTCTGAGGTGCCAGCCGCTTGCTACTTGGACCCTGGAATCTAGTGGCTATGGCAATGGTGTAATTCCCCCAGCTTTCCCGAAAGTTCTTGGGTCTCTCCCTGTCTCAGTTGACTGAAAATTATCTGGGACGGTTGTTATGATAAGAGTTCCCATGGAATTTTGTCTCCTTAGGAATATATATCTTGCTTGCATACGTATTCCTTTGTTCACAGTGTGCTGAGTCTTCGGTGTCCTGGCCAACGAAGAGGGGAATAACTATATACGCGGAGCCAGATATACCAACAGCAAGGTAGGATTTGAAAATTCAGGGTAATTGAACAGATACATAAATGTGATATTGTCTTACACAGCGTTCTATAAGACTGATGACAGGAGAGGATTCAATTTCAGTAAAGACTGGCCCTGGAAGTTTTGACTAAACATATGTTCATTTAAAAGAAAAACGTTGTGACAGCTGTTTAGCAGCGCAGTTGACCAAAGCTTGGTAGTGGCTCTACAGTCTCCTTGTTCCCTTGTGACACAAAGTTTCTGTAAGGCAGATCCGGCAACGTGGTCATAGCATAAAGGATGGGTAAATGTGGGCCACATGGCGGTACAAGGTGGTGGAAGGCAAAGACTGGTTGTTGAAGATGAGTGACAGGTGTCAAAGGCTTTGGCTGTGACCCTGCCCTCATCGAGATGCATGTCGATGTTTGTGAAAACACAGAAAAGAGGCACTATTACTCCATTTCGCAGATTGTGTAAGATCTTGAGTAGTATGCTGCCGTTGCTCCCCTCCTGGGCGTCATCCCAGTGTTGTCCTGCATTGCATTTATACGTTCTTTATAAATCCTCGAATCTATGATCACAGTTAGTGATCTTTTCGAGGGATGTAAAGAAGAGAAAAAGCTTCTGTATTTACCTTCGTAGTTACAGAGCTTTTCACTCTGTGTATGGGTCCAGGTTTCCATCTGGCATCATTTGCCTTGACCCCGAAGGACCTCTTTCACTATTGTCTTGTGGGTCTGCTGCTGCTGAATTCTTTCAGCTTTTGTATGTCTGGAAAACTTAGTTCAGCTTCGGTTTTGAAAAAAAGTATTTTTGCTAGGTATAGAGTCTCGGCTGACAATTTTCCGCCCTGTATTTTAGAGACATACTACTGTACTGTGTGCCTCCCGCATCCTTCCCACTGCAAAACCTACTGCCACCCTTTTCTTGCTTCCTTTGTTTGCAATGTGTCTTTTTTCCTTTGACTGCGTTTGAGATTTGTTTCTGGCTTGAGCACTTGAATTATGACTTGCATGGGTGTGGTTTCTCTCCTGGTTCTCATGCTTGGGGCTCATTAAGGTTCTTCATTTGTAGGTTTCTGTCTTTCATCAGATTTGGAGAGTGTTGGGCTGCTATTCCACAGAGTTTTTTTTCTGCACCCGCCCATCTCTTTCTCCTCTCCTGAGACCCTGATGAGACAAATGTCACACCTTTTGATATTGTCCGAAAGGTCCCTGAGACTGCTCATTTTTTCAACCTTTATTTCTTGCTGTTCTTAATAATTCTCCTGCTCTATCTTTAACTTTATTGAGTCTTCTTTTATTTCCATCCTGCTGTTTAGCACATCTGGTGAATTTTTAAATGTGATGTATTTTTCAGTTCTAAAATTTTCATTTGAAATTTTTTATAGTTTATATTTCTTTGCTGAGAACTTTAGAAAAAAATTTTTTAATGCTTATTTTTGAGAGAGAGAGATAGAGACAGAGTGCGAGCAGGGGAGGGGCAGAAAGAGAGCGGAAGGGAGACACAGAATCCAAAGCAGGCTTTAGTCTCTGAGCTGTCAGCACAGAGCCTGACATGGGGCTTGAATTCACGAACTTCGAGATCATGACCTGAGCGGAAGTCGGAGGCTTAACTGACTGAGCCACCCAGGTACCACTGTTTTTTAAAAAAAAATTTTTAAGTCTTTGCTGATCACTTTTATCGTTCCATTTAGGAGTGCTCACCCCTCCTTCTCTTATGGACTCTGGTTATGATAGCTGCTTTTAAGTACATGGTAATTCTCATTTGTGAGCCATCTTGGGAACCATATCTGCTGATAAGCTTTTCCCTTGACGATTGATCTTGTTTTCCTGGTTCTTGGTGTGTTGTCGTGTCTTCCGTTCTGGATATCTTGAATATTATAGCGTGAGACTGGTTTCTTTTCACATCCTCTGGAGAAGGTTGACCTTGTTGTTTTTCTTGTTTATTTTAGCAGGAAGTCAGCAGCTCCCTTCATTCAGACCACAAATTCTGTCTCAGTTTCTGTGGCTGGTGACTGCCGCGCTGCTTTCGATCTGTTACGAATATGCTCAACTTGGGGCAAGCCTGGGACTCATGTTGGGTCATAAATAGAAATGGGGGACCCCCTTCCTCTGGCACACTCTCTCCTTTTTCCAGGATTTTCCTCACATTCACGATTTTCTAGAAGCTCCCTGTCCCTCTGTCCAGGTGGATGGCTTTTCGTTGAGAAACAGCCATGCAGTTCTGTGGGTTTAGGGCCACTTATAGGGCAAAACAGCAGCGGAAACAAGAGGAGACAAAGATGGGAGGTTTCCGTGGGTCTTGTTTCCCAGGTCTTCCAGAGTGAGAGGGTTTCTCCCGGGGCTCTGGGTGCCAGTGCTGCCGCCGGCACTGCAGCCGCGTGATTGGAGCCACCCTGGGCAGGGCCAGGAGAGAAAAAGGGAGAGGAGAAAGTCAGAGATTACACTGCCTGGTGAATGGCTGGTTCTCTGGCTTGAAATAGAAGATTTCTCCCAGCGTTTGGGGTTGATGTCAGCTGTGCTGTTGTGCGTTGGGCCAACGCGGGGAGACAGGGAGTTAAAAGCCCGGGGAGCTCTCCATAATGCTGATGGTCTGCGCGGCTCGCCTTCTCTCCCCTACGGTTCTGTACTTTGCACGAAGCCCCTGGCCGTGGTCCCCAGGAGACATGGGCTGTGTGTCAACAGGGCTTCCCTCCCTAAATGGTGCTTCGGGCTGAGCAGCAGTTTACACAGAAATAAATCTGTGTATGTGGAGCGACTCAGTCCTCAGTGCTCTTTAATGAGTTTTCTCCTCAAAAATAAAGTCATTTTCAGGATTGGGGTTAATGGGCTCAGAGATTCTAATGAATGTTTTTTGGTTCTTAGCTCTTTATGTCAGAAGCCAAATAAGAAGCCTCTTAGGTGGGCCGAGAAGAAAGAACACAACGAGAAGAATGGCTGTGTGAAGTAAGTTTTCTCTTTGGCCTGCACTTTTTATTGCTATAACTGTAATGAAATTATAAATTATTCCTATTATATATGATAATTATATTATTTTTATACATATACATTTTATTTTACACATAATTCTGTTATACGTAATTTTAGTTACTCATATATATGATATGTACATCATATATAATTTTATTATTCAAACTTGTGTTCTCACTTAGAAAATACACATGCAGTGTGTCTGCATATATAACTAACAAACTTTGAAGTTAGTTTTATTTTTGTTTACTAGGGTAGATTTTTCCTTTAAAATCTTTATTCCACTGTAAATAGTCGTTTTTTGGCTCCCGTTCCTTGTCTTCTTGATAAAGTAGACAGTTTTATGAAACCAATCAGATATGGTTGGTTTTGGGGGCTGTTGATTTTATGTGGATTAATGTTTGCTTTCTTCCCATTTCTCGGGTGGTAAAGACGTCTTCCACCTGCTGGAGAAGCTACGTATTTGCAGCATGGAATTATGGGACTACCTGAGTTTTTGTGGGTTTTTTTTTTCTCTTGCCAGATTCACAGAGGATTCACCAGTAAGTTATTAATAATAGAGTAGTGACTTCATTTTATACTTGTTTATTCCACAAAACCTCTTCCTACCCATTTTTATGATTTTTTTACCATAGCAGCCTGAAAACACCCCTACATTCCAAGTAACTGGCTGCTCTGAAGTCACCAGAGTGACAAGGAATTTACGACGGTTCAGAAGTGGGTCGTTCGTGCTGGGATGCCTGGGGAGAGGGTGTTGACCGTGCCCGCCTCCCAGAGCCCACACTCTGGCCCTGAAACACCCCGTCACCCAGCAGGAGCACCCCACACAGCCTCGGGCCCGGGGGCTCGGAAGGCCGCTCTGGAGCCCACAGATGGGGGGGTGGCTGTGAGTGCGCCTGTGTTGATGTCCTCCTCCCAGGGCATCACTGCACCCTGATACCTGGAAGCCGGGGGCGCACAGGGTTGTTTTCCCTCCAGCAGGAGGCCTTGCATTACCCACGCAGCTCATTTCTTCGATTACATTACGTTATAGCTTGACAAATCAGCCCTGAGTTTCTCTGTTGCCTTTTATTTTTGTATTGGAAGGTTGTACCTTCTCTTGGGCTAAATGGCCTTTAGTGAGAACAGTTGATTAAACCCGTCCGTTATTCCATCAGTCCTGGTGGGTTCCAGGGCAACTCGAAGTGGTTCAAGATTACAGCAGAGAAGGGAGGAGGCAGTGGAGGAGGTGACCTAGTGATCGCACCGTCTTTGTCCTTGTTCAGAACAAGTGCCCCGGGATAGGCGTTACCATGTCCAGAGTCTGGGGGTTGGGGTTTGGGGGGCAAGTGTGGTACTGGCATGACCTCTGTGGCCTTCGTATCACAATAGACAGGGCAGAACAGGACAGGCAGTAATTTCACAGCTATGCCTTGGGACATACAGCTGACCCTTGAACAACACAGGCTTAGGAGTGTCAACCACCCCCACAGTTAAAAGTCTGCGTATAACTTTTCACTCCCCTGGAATTCAGCTGCCAATACCTTGTTGACCAGAAGCCTTACTGATAACATAGCCGACTAGCACATGTTTTTTTGTACCGTAAAGCTAGAGAAAAGAAGATGTTATTAAGCAAATCATAAGGGAAACGTGTTCTCACTAATGTCCTGTAAATAGTCCACATAGAAGTTGATGTGCACAGTTCAAACCCAGGTTGCTTGAGGGCCAACTATATATTTCATTTTACTTCTGTCAAGGGAGATTTAAAAGGACACCTCAGTCGAGAAAATATTAACACTCCCTTTTTTTCTTCGAATTGCCCTTTTAACTTCCCTTTTTTTCTTCGAATTGCCCTTTTAACTACTTTATAGATTATTGCAGTTTTTAAATCCGGATCCTTTGAGAACTGATGGAATCTCTGATCTTCAGAAGGTATTATACTACCTTAAAAAAAAAAAAAGTTAAAAATCAAAGCCACCTCTTTACTCTTTAAATCCCTCTCCTCCTTTGTCTGGATTTGAGGCTGGAAGAGAAACCCCCTTAGGTGGGGGACTCTACCTGAGGACATCCTTTTAGAAATTCTCTGGTGAATTATTGCTTTAGGGAAATTGTTCTTTTTTTTTTTTTTTTTTTTAATTTGGGGAATAGATACTTTTCCTTTCCTTTTGGTAGTTTGGGTGGGTTTTGACAAGCATATGTACCAAGGCTTTGACGAGGCTTTGACGTTGCAGTCAGACACTGGTATCTCCCTCCTTCGCATGAAGAGGTTGACGCCCTGGGTGGGGGGGAGAGGCGGGGGTGGGCGTCTAATGGGCTGCTGTTTTAGCTGCAGAAGCTGCGGTCGGGGTCCCCACAGCCAGTCCCTGTGCTCCGGAACAAGATCGAGCCTTGCTTGTCAGTTGATGCGTCACCACTTTCGGCTGACCTGAAAAAGGTAAAAGTGCCCCTGAGGCCGCACTTGTGAAGGAATGCTGACCTGTTCTAACACAGGATTTTTAATAAACAGTTCGAAGGCTGCACTTGCATATTTTCTTTGCTTTTGAAATTTTTTCTTCAGCTTTTCGTTTTAATTACTGATTTTTCATGTATTTATTTTTGTTACGTTTATTTATTTTTGAGAGACAGAGAGAGCCAGGGCACGAGGAGGGGAGGGACAGAGAGAAAGGGAGACACAGAATCCAAAGCAGGCTCCGGGCTCTGAGCTGTTGGCAGAGAGCCCGACGCGGGACTCAAACCCATGAACCGTGAGATCATGACCTGATCTGAAGTTGGATGCTAGGCCGACTGAGCTACCCAGGCGCCCCTCATTTATTCATAAATTCAGGTTAACTTCTTACAAGTGAAGAATTCTTTTGTGGAGAAACCACTGTGTAACTCTTAGTGCTTTTCTGAAACAAGTTTTCACATGTGTTTCTGCCCAGGGGCTTAGAAGGGAAAGGTGCCAGAGCAGTTACAAGATACTTCCGAGTGTTCTTTCTGAAACCGTTCTAGAGACTGCCATCAATAGAATGTGTTTATCTAGTTTCTTGATTCAAAAAAAAAAGAAGATAAAGCTAAACCCACGAGGAGGAATTGAGTAAGAGTGAGTGAAGCCTTTAGTGGCCCAGAGATTTCCACAGGCTTCCAGAAGATGGAGAACAGGCAGTGGAGTGTGGCTGACTAGCAGAGGAAGGAGCACAGTGAAGTGGGGGGTACTGAACTTCCCTCTAACGCTTCTTGAGAACCCCCGGTCAGCCTCTCAGCAAGGGGCTTGGACGATCTTTTTGAAGGAACTGAATGGCCCTAGAAGTGCCCTTCAGATGATGCTGTTTGGAGTTCTCCCCGTAAAACCGCCTGCCTAGTGTGCTGGCTTCCTGCAGGGGACGCTCCCGGGAACCAGCTCTGCCCGGCCCGCACGTCTTCTGTCAGCTTTTAGTGCTCCTCCTCTGTGCAGACACACATCCAGGATCTGTCGACATTTGAAGAAGGCTCCCACCTAAAAACAAAACGCTTTTTTAAAAAAGACCAAAAGGAACTCTGAAGGAAACCAACTGTAGGCAGTCAATAAAATGTTACGGGCCGCCTGAGTGGCTCAGTTGGTTAAGCATCCAACATCGGCTCAGGTTATGATCTCCCACTTGGTGAGTTCAAGCCCTGCATCAGGCTCTGTGCTGAGAGCTCTGAGCCTGGAGCCTGCTTCAGATTCTGTCTCTCCCCCTCTGTCTGCCCCTCCCCCACTCACACTCTTTATCTCTCTTTTTTTCTCTCTCAAAAATAAATAGAAACATTAGGGGCACCTGGGTGGCTCAGTTGGTTAAGTGTCCAACTCTTGTTTTCGGCTCAGGTCATGATCTTTTGGCTTTGTGGGTTTGAGCCCCACATCAGGCTCTGTGCTGACAGTGGAGATCCTGCTTGGGATTCTCTCTCTGTCCCTCCCCCACTCATACTATCTCTGTCTCTCTCAAAAAAATAAATAACAAAAGTAAAAAAAGAAAATGTAACAAAATAAATATCCTCAGAGATCAGAGAAGATATTATATGTACTAAACAATACCAGGGCACTATAATAAGGAATAGAGAATAAGTTTTTTGGAAATTCGGAATGCTATAAAAATTAGAAGGCAAGCAGCAGATTGGAGAGATAAAATGTAAGTAACAGAAAGTAGAACACAAAAACGGAGAGATGAAAATAGGGAAAACAGAATTTGAAGCTCAGTTTGAGGTCCAGTGTCTGAAGTGGGATTTTTTTTTTTTTAAAGAATGAAGGAGGGGCACCTGGGTGGTTCAGTCAGTTAAGCGTCCGATCTCGGCTCAGGTCATGATCTCACGGCTCGTGAGTTTGAGCCCCGCATCGGGCTCTGTGCTGACAGCTCCGAGCCTGGAGCCTGTTTCCAATTCTGTGTCTTCCTCCTTCTCTCTGCCCTTCTCCCAGTCATGGTCTCTCTCTCTCTCTCTCAAAAATAAATAAACATTAAAAAAAAAAAAAAATGAAGGAAAGTGGACAAAATATTCTGAGAAGAGCCACATAGGAGTGATTTCTAGACTTAATGGAAGTGAGAGAGTGCCCCTCTCACAAGCCCAGCACAGAGAGGGGCCAGGATGGTGGGCATGCTCTTGTGAAGTGTTTATCCTGGGGGCTTCCGAGGTCATGAAGGCTTCCAGAGAGGAGAAGCCGCTCCACCAGTAGGATCAGGAAGTGGAATGGCTTCAGACTTGGACTTGCCTTCGGTTATACCAGAGGAGCATGGTCTCCAGCTTCTTATGGAAATTTATTTCCAACCTTGAGGTCCATATGGAACTATCCGTGAAGACATTTGCAGATGTGCTGAGTGTCCAAAAAATTTACTTATGCTGCACTCTTGTCAGGAAAGAAGCTACTGAAGTATGTTCTCCACCAAAGCAAGAATGTCAACCAGGAAGGACAGCCTGTGTTGCAGATGACAGGGCGATGGTGCAGGAAGACCCCAGGGCATGACCACTGCATGCAGGATGCAGAGTCAGCAGGCTGGGCTGCAGCTGGGGCTCAGGGCCTGGGGACGAGGACTTCACCGAGACCTCGTGCTGATGAGTTCCGCCTCTTGGGAGCTAACGTTAGTGTGGCCAGAGAGCTCTTTCTGTTCCCACACTTGAGAGGTTTTAGTGACTTACATAGAAGAATAAGCAAATAAAGGCATATTAAAAAACAAAACAAAACAACTTTGGAGGCACTTGGGTGGCTCAGTCGGTTAAGCATCCGACTTCGGCTCTGGTCCTGACCTCTCCGTTCCTGAGTTCAAGCCCCATGTTGGCCTCTGTGCTGCATGGAGCCTGCTTCAGATTCTGTGTGTGTGTGTCTCTCTCTCTGCCCCTCCCCTGCTTGCATGCTACCTTTCTCCAAAAAATACATAAACATTAATAACTTTAAAACAAAGCAAAACAAACTTTGGAAACGAAGCTGATGTATCTAGGTGATCAGGAGAAGCCGTGCCCTTGCCCTGGCAGGCTCCAGGTACCTGGTCAGTCCACGGACTGCTTGTTTAAGCCTCTTGATTTGGAGCCTAGGAAAGCAGGTGTCTCGTGGACGGAGTTTGGTGCTGAGAAAAGATTCAGGAGGACTTGTCAAGTCAGGTGGTAGAAAATACCAGATTGAGCAATATGTAGTGGCTCTTTGGGGTGAAGTGAGCAAAGAGATGGAGTTTTTGTTGTCTGTGCTTCATCCGTGGGTGTCTGGCTGTTGATGTCTTGCAGGCCCTTCACAGAAACAAGTTTCCGGGACCCAGCCACACCGAATCCTACTCTTGGCCTCCCATAGCGAGGGGCTGTGACGCGGTGGTCATTTCTCACTGCGGGAATGACCCTCTGCTGTACCTTCCACCGCTCCTTACGATTCTGCAAACAGGGGGCTGTTACAAGGCTTTACCAAGCAGAAACGGAGTAAGTTGGAGACCATTTTGTTTCACGGCCAAATGGCTTAAAAATTTATTTAAAAATTTTTAAATGTAGCATAACCTTTGGTGAAGTTTACGTTACATTACTCACTTGGTTTCCATGATAGGACGGGAACTTATCAGAGTCATTGACTCTGACCCTGAGTCTCCCCTTGAACCCCCATGGTGGCCTCTGGCCGAGCCAAGAGATTTCTGGCTTTTAGGGGTGAACGTATAGCTTATAAACTTCGCTGATTTAGTTCCTCTGTCACGGTAACCGTGTGAGTTGGTCGGGCCGTGTATGGTTTTCACCAGTTCATAGGTAAGAAAATTAGCCTCGTGAAAAGTTACTGGTACAGATGCCGAACAGTTGACAAGTAGACAAGAAGTGGGATTAGAGGTTGGGTTTTTCTGTCATCTCGTCCCATATTCTCTTACTTTCTCACAGCAGCGCGCCCCCCTCCCCCCCCCCCCCCCCACTGCTGTGTAATCCTTTATTTTACCGTGTGTGGGAATCTACAGACGGTGGAAAGGAGAGAAGTGGAGTGTGGGCGCAGGGGGTGGTGGGGGAGTGCTGCCTGCTCTCGGGGGCCAGGCGGTCAGGGGGACTCTGGCACGGAGCACCCTGGGCTCAGACCTGTCTCAGAGGCCGAGCTATGGATGGTTCCGTTACTCGGCAGGATGGTGAAAACTGGCAGTAGAAAAGACGCAGTTGTGCTTGGAAGAGGCACTCATTTTTCTGATTCTGCCATGTAATTTTAATGATTTCCCTTTGGAAATCTGTAGTGAATTGGTATGTGTTGATTGAAACATCTGCATCCCTCAGTTAGCAGCTGCCCCCTATGGACAAGTTGCTGCTTGCGTTGAGATAGAACCCTGGCCGGCCAGGAATTATGTCCGGGTATTGCCTCTTGTTCCTTCTGCTTTTCTCCACGTCTCCATGGCCAGCCTGCTTGTCCACCTGCCGCTGGCCCCCACTGGCCTTCCACGGCCCAAAGAAAGGGGAGACTTGTTCTTGTCTTCAGTGAGTTGGCACCACGCGTCCAGGAAAGTACTGGGCAGACAGCTCACCTTTAGGAGATAACTCTGGGATGGCGGAGGTCAGAGTTCAGATGGTGCTGTAGCAGACTTAATCTCCTAAGGAAGTGATGTTAACCTTTTCTAAGGCCCCTTTCAGGAAGCAGTTAGTCCCCTGGTACCCTGGAGGCACACTGCCTGGGTTCAGATCCTACTGCTACTGTGTATTAGCTGTGCAGCCTTGGACAGCTAGCGTTACCTCTCTGTGCCTCAGACTCCTCACCTGAAAAAGGAAGTAATGATAGGTCCCACTCTGTTGAGAATGTTTTAAAGACAAAATGAAATACTTGTGACATGCTTAGTGTAAGCCCTAGAGAAATCTGAGTCAATGTGGCTAAATCTGTTTTAATGGAACTAGATCCTTTCAGACTCCTATGACAATGGAGACAGCAAAAAATGTATGTAGTGCTTCCTGTAGAAGAAGATGGTCTGCGCACCGTGCAGGTACTGTCCAGTTCCTGACTTTTGTCCACAGTTATGTGTGTCTGTTTGTCTTCTCAGCCTCTGGCAGTCATTGTGTGCCCTGGGTGGAAAAAGGCCCAGTTCATCTTTGAATTACTGGGCGACTACGGCGCGTCCTCCAGGCCTCTTCACCCGATGCTGCTAACGATCGGACTCCACAAAGATGAAGCCAAAAACATGAAGCTTCCGAGGGGTTGTAAGCATCCTTTCCCAGCTGTTTGGTTTTCCCCACAGAGCCCAGTGGAGCTCTGCCAGGCAGGCGCCTGTGCTGCTGCAGCCACGGCCACCAGTCCAGCCTGCGCAGTGGGTGACGGATGGGTGGGCACGGAGGGCAAAGGGGTGCTCGTGGCTGACAGCCATTTGGCTGAGGACACGACGTGACTTCATTCATTTACCAACTGTTTGTCGGCTTGTCTCCTGTTAGATGTTGACTAACCCCCACCCCCTGCCCTTGAGGAGCATGACACATGTTGGGCGCCTGGTATTTAACCCTATATGGATAGGCGTTGGCTTGGATGGGTGGGCCTCACCCGCGTGAGCAGGAAAACCTGCTTGTTTGTGTCATGACATGGCAGTTCTACAAAGCATGTGGCATCTCAGCAAAGGAAATGTTAGCAACACCTGTGAAAAACCTGAAATGTTAATTTTTTTTAAACATAGGTGATATAATTGTGACGACCCCCCACAGCCTCCAGAGACTTCTCCAGTATCAGAGCTTGTTATTTCTCAGACTCTGCCACCTCGTGTTGGATGAGGTGGAAGTATTATTCCTCGAAGCTAATGAAGAAGTAAGTATGGCGGCCACCGAGACGTCCTCATCACTCAGAAATAGACGTGAGCAAGATTAAAGTCTCATCTGCTTTTAGGAAGCTGGAAACGTGTCTAGCGGGGAAAGAAGCCAGTTTATCTAAAATAAGGTTTCCCTTTAAAACCTTTATAATTATGAAGAAGGAACAATTATCTGAGATTTCCTTCTGAAATTTTAAAGTTCTCTTTGAAGAGCAAAAATTCTTTTCCACGGAGGTTTTCCAAAATAACGGTATTTTTGCAATTATGGAAGCAATACGTTTTATTTTAGAAAATTTGGGATACAGAGAAAAGTACTTGAAAAACCCCAACCTCCATAGTCGGACACTCAGAGTAATCACTTTTCCTGTTTTGGAGAAATTCCTGTGTCAGTACATGTAATTAACAACGTCGGGCCATGTTTCTTGGCTAGCTTATGACTTGCATTTTCCAGGCATCAACAGCATGAGTATTATTAGTAAGTATTCTGCATGATTGCTCGCTGGCCATAGGGAGCCAGTGAGCCTAACATGGCCATGACATGAGTTTTTAAACGGTCTCATTTTTGGACATTTAATACTGTGTGTGTATGTGTGTGTCTTAGGAACATACACCTTTCTTGCATGTTTCCCTTAGGATAAATTCCTCGGAAGGGGATTAATGGATCAAAGACTATGCATTCTTTTTTTTAATTTAAAAAAAAATATATTATTTTGAGAGAGAGACAGAGACAGACTGCGAACGGGGAAGGGGCAGAGAGAAAGGGAAACACAGAATGTGAAGCAGGCTCCAGGCTCTGAGCCATCAGTACAGAGCCCGACATGGGGCTCGAACTCCCAGACCACGAGATTGTGACCTGAGCCAATGTCAGACCAACTTCAGCTTAACCGACTGAGCCACCCAGATGCCCCTAAAGACTGCATTCTTATAAGAAGGCATTTCTTGGGCCCAGCATAACATCATGAGCACAGGCATTTCATTTAAGACCAATGATGTCCCAGGTTCAAGGCCAGGCTTTGTTACTTGCTGACTGTATGGGCCTGTGCAGGGTTTCTGAATGCCTCTAAAGCCTCAGTTCTTATTTGCAAAACGAATATCCAGGATACTGCAGTATAGAGTTGCCTTTCTGAAAGCAGAGATTGGTTTCCACTCCTGCAGGCATTGTGCCGCCACAGCACACACCCTGCGCCCTCAGAAGTAGGGCAGCCGTAGTCCAGCTTTCGTTTCCAGTCTCCTCGCTGAACGTGGCATCTCAGGAGCGTAGTCTGTACTTCCTTGCTGACTGTATACCACCACTCCTACTATTCTTCTGTGAGCTGCTCTCATTTTCTTTGCTTATCTTTTGTTGGCAGGATCACCTTTTTCTAGTCTGTTCGTAGAACTTTTTATGTAAAGTTATTCTTGGTTGCATATGTCACACGTGTTTACCCAGATACCGTTTGTGTTACTTAACATTCTCTCCTTTTTAGTTTTGTTCTTTTCTTTGGAAAGGCCTTCCTCACTCTGAGAACAGAAAATGTAGAATTCTTTATCTCTTGTTCTATCAACCAACTGTTACTCCCTTTTGAAATAAAGATGAAATTAATTATGCTACTTCTTTTAGATGTTTGCTATATTAGATAACTTTAAAAGAAATATTGACGTTGAAGAAAGGGAATCTGCACCACATCAGATTGTTGCCGTTGGAGTACATTGGAGCAGACAAATAGAACAGTTGATGAAAGAGTTCATGAATGATCCCTACGTTGTGGTCACGGCCCTGGAAGAGGCTGCTCTCTATGGCAGTGTCCAGCAGGTGCAGGCTCAGGGGGCGCCGAGGAGGGTGAGGGGCCGAGGAACACAAGCAAGTAGCCTCCATTTCATAGCTTAATAAACTAAAATGTTGCAGCTTTCCTCTCCTGCACAAATCTGTATTGTGTATTTCGATTTATATTGACATTCTGTACATTCTTTTTTGATAAAATCCTAACTTAGTGATAAAAAGTGAGGCTGGGGCACCCAGAATGTTTTTAAAACTCACTGTTTCTGTTTTTCATTACCAGGTAGTGCACCTTTGCCTGGAATGTGAAAAAACCTCTACTTTACTCCAGACTCTAGATTTCATTCCAAGTCAAGCACAAAAGACCTTGATCTTCACTGGTTCTGTAGCTGAAACAGAAATTGTGTGTAAGGTAAGCCTTCCACACCTAAAATGTCCATATTTTTTGTTTTAACCATAATTGAATCTCAGAGTCATCAGAGAACTACCACGTAGTTGATTATTTGCCAGGGAAGTAAAACTGTATGGATTTATGATCAGTCACAGGATGAGGTGGCTGGTGTGCAGAGAATAGACAGCCATGAGAAAGGACAGTGGGGTCCGGGGATAGGGGGAGGGCCTGGAATGAGGAGCCGGGTAGGTGGGATCAGGCTTTCCCCAAGGAGGGAGCTTTGTGCTTTGTCATTAAAAGGATCCCATTCATGAAGAAATGCCAGCGTCTTCTGTACCCTCTGTTTAAAAAGCTAGAGACAATAACATCAAGAGATAGCACCGTATGGCTACCAGAAAAGCCAGATAAATTGTCTGCAGATTTACTTAATTAATCTAATTCTACATAAATAGTAAAATGTGTAAATGAAGCCAAATACAAATTAAAAAAGAAGAATCAGTACATCCACCTTCCAGCAGAGATGAACTGGAGGTCTTGTGAAAAGATGTAACGTGTGTTGGCACATCAATTTGATGTGTGTGTGTACATGTATATACCTGTATATAAATACAGCTATGTATGCACACAGTATTGAAGGAAAGTGGTTTTAGCAAAATAACGTTTATTTCACTTTAGCAAGCTTTTAGATACAGACTGGAGTTTCGGAAATATATTTGTTTAAATTTACAGTCATCTTGTTCTTACAATTAGTGGATCGATGAAGTAATACCCTCACAGATAATTTTAAATGTTTTATACTGATGATTATTGATGGAGTGATTAACTTCAAGCTTATGTTCCTGACTGTGAACTGGCTTGTTTGGTTTCATCTTTAGGTAGTAGAAAGCAGTTCAATATTTTGCTTGAAAATGCATAAAGAAATGGTTTTTAATTTAAAAAGTATTTTAGAACAGTGGAAGAAGAAGTTAAGTTCTGGCTCTCACATTGTATTAGGTAAGTGTTTTAATTTCTACTTACGTTTAGGGAAGGCTGAGCTAATAGGAATCGTGTCTTCAGCTTAGTTGTATGCCTCGTCTCCAGATTTCTCGTCACTTCCCAGATCTGCTGAGGGCTTATTAGTAACGTAAATCTCAACATGAAAGTTAAGCTCCACCAAGATTTTGGTGCTGAGGCAAATGCAGGGGCCTCCGCAGTGCTTGGGTCAGGAGGCAGCAGCCCTTAGTGCAGACCTTGTCCCTGGGGCTCCAGGTTGAGGGCCACCGTCTCGTGTGTGTGTGTGTGTGTGTGTGTGCATGCGCGCGTGTGTGCCTCTGACGAAATCTGTCACAGATGGTTGTGACCAATAATGTGAGAGATCTAAAAGTCAGACTGTAGAAGATAAGTGAAAAATAGCTGGGCAGCCTGGATTTGTAATAGAAAGAGGCATTTTCCAAGCTATAGTTAGGGAAACAACTTCACTCTGGAATATAGTCACAGGGCTGCAACATTTTGGGGGGGTTGGGGATAGAGTTTCTTGGCCTCTACAAGGCGAAGCACAGGAGAGAAGTGTGTTGCAGTGGGTTCCTGGAATTGCTCTGCAGCGCGGGTGCCGCGAGCCACGGCCTCATCTGCTATTGTCGGGTCCTTTCCTCCAGCCTTAACTGATGACTGCATACCGCTCTTGACCGTCACTGACGCCACGTGTGTGATTCACTTCAGCTTCCCCTCCTCACCCAAAGTGTTTGGTGGACGTCTGTTTTGCATGTCTGATCATTTTCAGAGTTCAGCCGAACAGGTTTGGTTAATTTCCATCATCCTTTAATACCCCACTGGCATTTTCTGTGCAATGAGAAATTCCTAGTTCGCAGGGTTATATCACTTAGACTGGGATGGATGACCCACTTCCTTTGTTCACCCCCAATTTTAAGGGTTCTCCTGCAGAACAGGGAGATAAGAAAGCCAAGTCTGTCTTGCTGCTGACGGAGAGGAACGCGTGCCACGCAGTCGGTGTCCTGCGCTATCTGGAGCGAGCCGATGCCAGGATTCCTGTGGAGCTGTATGAGTTTACTGCTGGGGTTCTAGAAGCCAAAGAAGATAAGAAGGCCAGAAGACCTCTTTGTCCATATCTTAAGTCTTTTGGTTTTTGCAAGTAAGCGGTCATTTTTTAAAACCTAGAAATGTACCACAAAGTGCACATTGATACACTTTTGCTGCTGGATGCCCTTTACCTATGTATGCCCGGTGTACACCCCCACTCACCTCCTCGCGGTGCTCCCCTGCTCCTTCCCGGTCTGCCCTCCCCCTGGAAGTAACTGCCCTCAGACATTTAGCAACATTGATTAATTTTACTCGTCTCCCAACTTTATATAAATGGAGCCATACATTCAGCTTACTCCCTGTAAAATTCATCTTTGTTCCTGCATATATTGGGTGGATTTGTTTATTTGTTTATTTAGTGACTCAGTGCTCTGTTGTATGAAAATACCACAGTGTGTATATCTATTTTCCTGTTGATGGGAGAGGAATCGTTTCCAGCTTGTGGCTAGTATGTGTGAAACTGCCGTGAACACTCTTGCACATGTCTGTCTGTGGCAACACGCACTCATTTCTCTTGGGTGTAGACTTTGAGATTGCTGGGTCCTGGGGTGAGCACACGTTTAACCTTTCCAAGGTGTGTGACTGGTTCACAATCCCATCAGCAGCGTGTAAGAGAGCGAGTTGTTCCATATCCTCACAGAACCACAGTGTTCGTGGGGGTGTGGGGGCTCCCTGTCATGGCTTCCATTTGTATTTCCCTAGCAATTTATGATGTGGAGTGTCTTTTCATATGCTCATGGGACGTTTGACCATCCTCTTCTTGTGAAGTGTCTGTTCAGTTCTTTTGCCCATTTAAAAAAAATGTTTATTTCATAGGAGAGAAGGGCAGAAAGAAAGAGGGAGAAAGACAGAATCCCAAGCAGGCTCCACACTCAGTGTGGAGCCCAGCATGGGGCTTGATCCCACAAACCACAAGATCATGACCTGAGCTGAAATCAAGAGTCTGAGGCTTAGCCGGCTAGAGCCACCCAGGCACCCCTCTTTTGCCAATTTTTTTACATCGAGTGTTATTCTTTTTCTTATTGGTTTGTAGGAGTAATTTATTTATTCGACTTAGAACTGATTTGTCAGAGGTATGCCTTGAGATCTTCTCCCAGTTCATGGCTTGCCTTTTCACTCTTCTTTTAAAATTTTATTTACTTACTTACTTAATCTATCTATCTTATCTATCTATCTTTCTGAGAGAGAAAGAGCACGTGCGCAGGGGAGGGGCAGAGAGACCACAAGGGACAGAGAGAATCCCAAGCACTGGAGGCGGGGCTTGAACTCCCTAACCATGAGATCATGACCTCAGCTGAAATCAAGAGTCAGACACATAACCGACTGAGCCACCCAAGTGCCTGCCTTTTCATTAGAAGTCTATTGATGAGCAGACCTTTTTAATTTTGATGAACTATTTCATGGTTACTACTGTTTAGTGTCCTTATGTAAGAAATATTTGCCTACCTCTAGGTCATGAAGACACTCTTCTATATTTTCTTCTACAAGCTTTATGGATAGTTTCACACTTAGGTGTATAATGTAGAGTGAGAATTTTTGTGTTAAGTGTGCAGTACGGGGCAAGAGTTACCTTTTTCCATGTGGGTAATGACTTACTCCAGTATCCTTTATTTAAAATATCACTGTGTTGTCACTCAGTTGGTGCCTTTGACATAAACCAGACGATAGTATTTGTGGTCCATTTGTGGACTGTGTTACAGTGGTCTCTTTGCTCTTATGCTGGTACCACACTTTCCTAAGTGCTGTAGCTGATATTTTAGCGCGCCTTGGAACCTAGGACGCACATTCTCCAATTTTGCTCTTCCTCAGGGCTGTTTTGACTTTTAAGTCAGCTACATCTAAAGATACATTTTGGAACAGGCTTGTCAGTTTCTTCAGAAACATTGCCTGAATTTTGATAGCATGCGTGTTGCTACTATAAATCACCTTGGAGAGTTTGGTTATCTTAACAGTCAAGGGACCCTTCTCCCCGATCTGGGCATGATGCCAGTATTTGATCTGAGATTACTGAGACTGGGTAGTAGGAGTCTGATACCTATCGGGTTGAGTTTAATTTTAAGATAACTATAGAATCTAAGATAACTGTTGAATTATGGTACATTAAACAGGTTGTTAGTGACAGTTTCCATTATGCCTTTAAACACAATATCGACTTTTGAAACAGAAGCTCTGACTTTTCTCAGTTTGGGTTAGAGTGACTTCTGGTTTAGAGGTGATTAGCCTTTGTTGTGGGTTGTACAGATGAATTTCTGATTCAGAGTCTTTGTTTTGGAAGCACATTTTGTTCATTTACAGACTGTCTAGAGAAATAATGAAGTAACTCTTGAAGTTTATTTAGCGTTAATTAAATTTTAGGACCCTTTTTCATTAATGTGCATGTTAGTGTCGAAAGTATTTAAAAGGCTACTTAACTTTAAGGTATTTGGAATAAAAGTCCTCTGATTCCAATTATAGATTAATTTTCCTTAACAATACTTTAACATATGTGGGGCGCCTGGGTGCTTAGTCGGTTGAGCGTCCGACTTTCGCTTGGGTCCTGATCTCGCGGTTCATGGGTTCGAGCCCCGCATCGGGCTTTGTGCTGACTGCCAGCTCAGAGCCTGAAGCCTGTTTCAGTCTGTGACTCCCTCTCTCTGACCCTCCCCTGCTCACGCTGTCTCTCTCTCTCTCTCCTAGAAATAAATAAAACTTCAAAAAAAAAAAAAAAAAGAATACTTTAACATATGTTAAAAATTATTGGTTTTTTGTTTGCTTTTAAAATCTAGTTACTTTTTTTCAGAGACAGAAGGATATGTCCTGATCGACACCATGTTAATCCAGAAATAGACACACCAAGGAAATTATCCAACCAGACGCTACCAACGTTTGGATACATCAAAGTAAGTTTCGCTGAAGGCCCTTTTGTCCAGTAATTAATGATCATTTTAATGAACATACTTCATTCATAGGAGCAGAGTAATCATGACCCTGTTAACGTCATAATGGTGATTTATCTGACAGTAGGCACGTGTTCTTACGAGATGCTTTAAGACCCCAGTTTATTTGGAAAAACAAGGTCAAAGTGAGAAAACAAATAAACCAGTTTCAACAGGTCAGGGATTTTTTTAGTTGTACTTTCTGAAAGAAAGTTGTTTCCATTTGGGGACCATTAAAAATAGTACCTGTCTCTTCACAATATCCATGGTCCTTTGAGGAAAATTGCTGAGCTAAAGGTTTGTCACTTATTTTTGAATCATTTTTAGTACTTCTTCCTTTCTTCTTTTTTTAAAATGTTTTTTAATGTTTATTCATTTTTGAGAGGGAGAGACAGAGACAGAGCATAAGCAGGGGAGGGGCAGAGAGAGAGGGAGACAGAATTGGAACCAGGCTACAGACTCTGAGCTGTCAGCACAGAGCCCGATCCAGGGCTTGAACCCACAAACCGTGAGATCATGACCTGAGCTGAAGGCGGATGCTTAACTAACTGAACCACCGAGGTGGCACCCTTCTTCCTTCTACCTCCCCTTTTCCCTAAAGTAACTATATTCTGCTCATTTGTGCTGTGCTGTTCTGTCTCCCTAGTTCTTTTACCTCATTTCTCAGTTTTTCTGATCTACGTTCTTTTATACATATTGTTTATCATATATGTCTCTCTTCTGTCTCTCTATGTATATGTATATTTTTTATCATATTTTATTTTGTTAATGATTTTATTTTTAAACAATCTCTGTGCTCCCAGTGTGGGGCTTGAACTCACAATCCCAAGACCAAGTCACATCTTCACTGACTAAGCCAGCCAGGCTCCCCATTGTTTTCCTAATTAACAAGAGGAAAGGTAGCTTGCTTTGAAATTGAAGGGTACAGTTTTGGTCTCCGTTGTGGATACATCTTTTCTAGTGACTCTTATTCTCTGTAGGGACTGTTGTTCTGCTCCTTATTCTCTTTTTTGTTATAAATTACTATGGAATTTGATCCTGATATTTGCTACAGCTCCTTTTCAGATGAAATACATTTTCCTTGAATTTTAGAAGGAGGCCTGGGTCAGGGTAACTTTGATAATTTCAGAGCTCCCATTTCTGTGTTTCTTTCTTGTAATAAAAGCGTATGGAGACATAGTTTCTGAGATTGTGAAGATTTCCTGGCTCCATTTCCCTCTCCCACTTGTGTCTGTCCCTTCATCTTTGTTGTCTTTGGAAGGACAGTTTTGAGACTTCATGGGGCTCCAGCCTTCCCCTAATGTTGGAATGGATGATAGCCTCCCAGGCTCCCCCCCCTGCTCCGCCCACTGCCCTCACCTGTGGTGTTTCCATTGAGTACCTGTTGCCACTTGTGGACTTCGGTGCTTAGGCCCATCGGACATGCTCTTCCATGTGCTTCTTCCTACACAGACAGTGATACAGGCAGGCTTTGTGATGCTGCTGGGTTTGGCTTATTGGCTTATGTTGTTGTTGTTGTTTAAATTAATAGATATTGGGGTACCTGGGTGGCTCAGTTGGTTAAGCATCTGACGTCGGCTCAGGTCATGATCTCACAGTTCATGGGTTTGAACCCCGCATCGGGCTCTGTGTTGACAGCTAGCTCAGAGCCTGGAGCCTGTTTCAGATTCTGTATCTCCCTCTCTCTATGACCTTCTGCTGCTTATGCTTCTCTCTCTTTCTCTTTCTCAGAAATAAATAAAACGTTAAAAAAAAAAAAAAGAAAGGAAAACCTATTATAAAAATTAGTTAATAGATATTTATTTATGTATTTTTACATGTGTATTATTTTTGAGAGAGAGTGTGTGTGTGCGTACACTTGTGAGTCAAGGAGGGGTAGGGTAGAGAGGGAGACAGAGGATCTGAAGCGGGCTTTGTGCTGACAGAGAGCCCGACGTGGGGCTTGAACTCACAAACAGTGAGATCATGACCTGAGCCAAAGTCAGACACTCAGCCAACTGAGCCATCCAGGTGCCCCTAGGTATTTATTTTTCAGAGCAGTTTAAGTTTACAGGAAAACTGAGCAGAAAATACAGAGTTCCCAAACCACCGCAGCAGTTTCCCATTTTTAACATCTTGCCTTAGTGTGGCACATGCGTAATGGTAGATAAGGCAGTTATTGATTCATTTATTTGTTAACCAGTCTGTAGTTTACATTAGGATTCACTCCCTGTAGTGAACATTCTGTGGGTTTTGCCAAATGTGGATGACACCTAACTCTACATTGGTGCCACAGAAGTCTTAAGTGGCTCAAGACCCCCTTTTCCACCCTTCCTGTCTTCCTTGGAGCTCTCGGCAGTCGCTGATATTTTACTGTCTCATAGTTTTGCCTTTTCCAGGATGTCGTATACTTGGAACTATACCTTATGTAGGCTTTTCAAACTGGCTTCTTTTTATTCCTTAATAGGTCATTTCTTTTTAATTGCTCAGTATACCATAGTATATCCATTCACCTACTGAATGACATCTTGGTTGCTTCCAGGTTTTGGCAGTTATGAACAAAGCTATGGTAAATGTTGGTGTGCGGGTTTTTGTGCAGGCATAAGTCTTCAACTCATTTGCATAATAACAAGGAGTGTGATTGTTGGATTGTGTAGTAAGGCTGTTGTGCTCTGTAAGGAACTGCCACGCTGTTTTCTGAAGTGGCTGCACCATTTGTATTCCTACCAGCCAAGAGTGAGAGGTCCTGTTGCTTCAGCTCTCCAGGAGCCGACATTGTCAGAGCTTCGGATTCTGGCCAGGCTAGTAGGGGTGCAGTGGTACCTTATTGTTTTAGTTTGCAGTTCCCTGATGACATTTGATGTTGGGTGTCTTTTCATGTGCTTACTTGTCACCCGTATGTCTTCTTTGGTGAGCTATCTGTTCAGGGGTTTTTGCCCATCTTTTAATCGGGTTGTCTGTTTTCTGATTGTTGAGTTTTAAGAGTTCTTTGTAGATTTTTGGATACCAGTCCTTTATCAGATACGTGTTTTGCAAAAATTTTTTCCCAATCTTGCGGCTTGTCTTTTTGTTCTTCTTAGAGTGTCTTTTGCAGAGCAGAAGTTTTTAATTTTAATTAAGTCCCAACTTTCCAATTGTTTCTTTCATGGAATCATGCTATTGGCGTATCCACAGAGTTCTCATGAAACCCAAGGTCACTTAGATTTTCTCCTTTGTTATCTTCCTCATCTGCTTTTATTTTGGGGTGTGTTTGAGGATATTTTGTCCATTAGCTTTGTTGTAAAGTATGCCCCTGGTATTTGGTTTCGCCATCACATTGCTCTGTCTTTATGTGGGGATTCAGAGTCAAAACCCATGACACTTTATCGCTGCCACCTTCCCAGAACCCCTCTAACCAGTTCCTGCCTTTTAATCTGCTCTATTGACGTGCAGTCTATATACAATAAAATCATTATTTTAAGTGTATAGTTTGTTGAGTTCTGATAAATATGTACAGTCATGGAACTACTGCCACAGTCAAGATATGAACAGTATTTTTGCCCCAGACTCTCCTGGCCCCTCACCCCCAACCCCAACCCCTGGCAGCCACTGGACCTGCTTTCTGTCACTAGAGCTTTGTCTTTACTAGAATTTCTTTTAATGGAATCATACAGTTTGTAGTCTTTTGAGCCTTATTCAGCATAATGCTTTTGAGATTCACCTGTGTTCTTTTTCCTTGTCGAGTAGGATGCCCGTGGATTGCCTGTCTGCTCACAAGCTCATGGGCGTTTGGATTGTTTGCAGTTTTTGGCTGCTGTGAACCTCTGTGTTACAAATCATTTTAGACCTGCATCTTCATGTTTTCTGAGTGAGACATAGTGGAATTGCCGGGTCATATGATGTGTGTGTGTGTGTGTGTGTGTGTGTGTGTGTGTGTGTGTGTGTAAGAGCCTGTAAAATGGTAGTGGTGGTACCATTTTACATTCCCACTGGGACTATGTATAAGAATCCCAGTAGGTACATACTCTCAGTCCATGGTGTTCTCAGTCTTTAATTTTTTCCACACTGTTGCATTTGCACAGATCATCTTACTTGCATTTGTCAGGTGATAAAGATTCTTGGACCTCTTTTCACTGCTCATTTGGCCCTTTGTATCTCTTTTATGAACTCTCTGTTCACAGTTTTTGCCCATGTTTTGCCCATTTTTAAATTTGAGTTGTTGAATTTAAGAGTTCTTCATATATTTTGGGTATCATTTGTCAGATAAATTGCAAGTATTTTCCCTCAGTAGAAAAGCAGAAGCTTTTAACTTTGATGAAGTCTCCTTTCTCATTTTTTTATTTTAAATTTTGTGCTTTTCTTTTTTTAAATTTATTTATTTTTGAGAAAGAGAGACAGCATGAGTGGGAGAGGGGCAGAGAGAGAAAGGGAGACACAGAATCCAAAGCGGGCTCCAGGCTCTGAGCTGTCAGCACAGAGCCCAACGCGGGGCTCGAACTCATGGATCTTGAGATGATGACCTGAGCTGAAGTCGGTGGCTTAACTGACTGAGCCACGCAGGCACTCCCCATTGTGTGCTTTTCATGCCATAAGAAATCTTTGCCTGTCTTAAGATTGCAAAAATTTTTCCCTATCTTTTTTTTCTAGAAGTATTATGGTATTACATTTAGGTCTATGATCCATCTGAAATTAATTTGTGTGTGTGTGTGCGCGCGCTCACACGTGTGTGGTATAGATAAGGGGCAAGGTTTTTCCTTATAGATAAGTGGCTGCTCCAGCATCATTTATCACAAAGACTTTCCTCTCTCCTTAAGTTACACCGGTACCTATGACATAAAATAAGAGACCACATTTGTGAATTATGAATTCTTCATTCTATTCTTTGGTCTGTTTGTCTACCCTTATAAGGCACCACGTTTGTTTGAATACTGTAGCTTTATAAATAATCCTGGAGACTGGTAGGGAGGTCTTCCCAAATTAGCCGTCATCTTTAATATCCTTCTGACATAAAATTTTAAGATCAGCTTGCTAGTTTCTACTTAGAAGCCTGATGGGATTTCGAAGGGCATTGAATGGAGTCTGTAGATTAATATGGGAAGAATTGACAATATATATCTTAACAACACTGTCATGTTGTCCATTTATATGGTATGTCTATCACTCCATTTAGCTAGGTCACCTTTAATTCCTCTAGGCAGTTTGTTACAGTTTTCAGTAGACTGATTCTGTACTTACTCTGTTAACTTTCTCCCTCATATGTCACGTTTTTGGACATTTATGTTATTTTTCTTTAAACTTCATTTTCTGATTATTTAGAAATGCAGTTGACTTTTGTGTCCTTACCTCGTATCCTGCGAATGTGGCAAAGTGAATTAGTTATGTGCAGGACTGCTGGCGAGAGCAGAGTCAAAGAGGCAGGGGTGCGACTGGATGGGACCCTCCTGGTATGCGCAGGACTGGGGGTTTTCTGGGCACATGGGACATTTAGTGCTGATAGCAGGAAAGCCCCAGATACCCCAGGATGAGCTGGTCACCCCGTCCAGAGGCCTCCTTTGGTCCACAAGCTTCTTTTGCCACCTCTGTTCTGCCAACTTAATGTGTCCTCCAGTGTGCTAATGCCATGCAAAGGTGATGGCCATGGACTGCCACGGCGGGGCCTGGGATTTGTTCACTGTGTGTGCTGAGGTCTCAGGCTTAACATGGAGCCTCCTCATGTGGGAAATGCGGGGGAAAAGAAACTCTCCTCTTTTCTCCTGTCACCATTAAAATGATCACCATTAGCATCTTAGTACATTTGGTTTGTCATTTTTCTTTGTCCATCTTTTATTTCTTTTTAATTTTAAAAAATGTTTGTTTTTGAGAAAGACAGTGGGAGCAGGAGAGGGTCAGAGAGAGAGGGAGGCACAGAATCTGAAGCAGGCTCCAGGCTCTGAGCTGTCAGCACAGAGTCCAACGCAGGGCTCAAACCCATGGACCGTGAGATCATGACCTGAGCTGAAGTCGGACGCCTAATCCACTGAGCCACTCTTTGTGCCCCTCTTTGTGCATCTTTTAAAAGATCTGTCATGGAAACTATCAACACCCTAGAGGAGAAAGCAGGAAACAACCTCCTTGACCTCCACCGCAGCAACTTCTTACTTGACACATCCCCAAAAGCAAGGGAATCAAGAGCAAAAATAAACGATTGGGAACTGATCAAAATTAAAAGCTCCTGCACAGCAAAGGAAACAACCCACAAAACTAATAGGCAACCAACAAAATGGGAAAAGATAGTTGCAAATGACATATCAGATAAAGGGTTAATATCCAAAATCTATAAGGAACTCAACAAACTCCACACCCGAAAAACAAACAACCCAGCGAAGAAATGGGCAGAAGATATGAACAGACACTTCTCCAAAGAGGATATCCAGATGGCCAACAGACACATGAAACGATGCTCAGCATCCCTCCTCATCAGGGAAATACAAATCAAAACCACACTGAGATACCACCTCACGCCAGTCAGAGTGGCTAAAATGAGCAAATCAGAGGACTCTAGATGCTGGCGAGGATGTGGAGAAATGGGCACCCTCCTACACTCTTGGTGGGAATGCAAACTGGTGCAGCCCCTCTGGAAAACAGTGTGGAGGTTCCTCAGGAAAATGACAATAGAACTCCCCTATGACCCAGCAACAGCACTGCTAGGAATTTACCCAAGGATACAGAAATGCTGATGCATAGGAGCACATGTATCCCAATGTTCATAGCCGCACTCTCCACAATAGCTAAAACATGGAAAGAGCCTACGTGTCCATCAACGGACGAATGGATCAAGAAGATGTGGTTTATCTATACCATGGAATACTACATGGCAATGAGAAAGAATGAAATCTGGCCATGTGTAGCAACATGGATGGACCTTGAGGGTGTTATGCTTAGCGAAATAAGTCAGGCAGAGAAGGACAAATATCATATGTTTGCACATATAGGAGGATTAGGAGGAACTTAATGGAGGACTAAGGGGGAGAAGAAGGGGGGAGATAGTGGGGGAGAGGGAAGGAGGCAAACCATGAGAGACTCTTGAATGCTGAGAACAAACTGAGGACTGATGGATGTGGGGGGGAGGGGGATGGGCATGGAGGGGGGCACTTGTGGGGATGAGCACTGGGTGTTATATGGAAACCAACTTGACAATAAACTATTTGTAAGAAAAAAAATAATAAAAGATCTGTCATTGGTGAATATATTATGTCCTGCTTAAGTTCTTGGAACGCCGCAGCGGGTATATTCTTTTCCGTGCCATCGTGTGGTCACTGACTGCGGTCATGCAGTGGGCCTCTGAACCGTGGGGAAGAAGACTTCCCTGGCAGAGGCCATCTGCCACGCAGGAAGGGACACCAAGCTCCTGGCCTGGGTGAGCACTGAGCATTCATTCGGGCAGCTTCCTCCACGGGGCTGCAGCATGGCTGGCTCAGGACCCATGACAGACATGTTACCTGGCCTCCTGTGGGCAGGGTCTGCAGTGGACTGGCGAGTCAGAAAGAGGTGACAAGTGCTGTGGAGAAGGCGAAATGCAGCAAAGCCCCGGGGGGGGGGGGGTATGCTGGGTACATGTGCTGGAGGTCAAGGGGCCTGTGGGAACTGTGGGCAGCGAGGGACTCTCTGAGGGGTCAGCCGCCCCGAGAGCTGAATGAGAAGGATCCGGCTGTGGGAAGATCTGGAGAGGATTGTTCTGGGGAGAGGAGCCAGCAAATCCCCGAAGTAGAGTTAACTTTGGAGTGTTGGTGGCACAGGACAGGGCTTGCTGGCACTGAGAGGGGGAGACAGGCAGGCAGTGGAGCTCAGGGGCACCGCAGAGGAGGGATTGGTATTGATCACGAGGGGCAGCCTCGCCCCGGCCTCCTTGCCTGCCCTGGCCTCCCAGTCAGCAGTGGCCTTTCCGCCAGTAACTGTTCTGTCCTGGTGTCTGGTATGGGTGACTCACGACTCCCACCTTCCCGTGGACGTTTTGCCCCCTATGTCTAGAAAGCCTTCTCTGTGCTCTTGCTTACGTGTGTGCTCACCTGCACTGCGCCTCGTGCACCGGCCACCCTGCTTACACTTGCCTGTGCAGAGCTGTCTTCCTGCTCATGTGCCGGCTGAGCACATCCATCCACTTGTGGGCTGCTGGGGGCCCCTCCTGGACGGGGCTTGTGTATTATCCCTGGTGCTTCCTACGCAGTAGGCTCCTGACACAGTACTGTAGCCTCTTAGGGGAACAAAGATCAAAAAGAGCTCAACACCCAGGGATGCTATTTAAGAAAAACTTTTATAAGGTGCATTTATAGTAAACAAAGGACCTTATAATTTGTAATGAAGTTTTATTTATTTTTTTAATGTTTGTTTATTCCTGAGAGAGAGACAGAGCACAAGCAAGGGAGGGGCAGAGAGAGAGGGAGACACAGAATCCAAAGCAGGCTTCAGGCTCTGAGCCATCAGCACAGAGCCTGATGCAGGGCTCGAACTCCCAGACTGCGAGATGATGACCTGAGCTGAAGTCGGACACTTAACCGACTGAGCCATCCAGGCACTCCATGTAATGAAGTTTTAAAGTATCAGATTAACAGAAAGTCTTCTATCAGGATTTAAAGTGAACCCACACTTACTTGTGAGTCCGCTAAGGTTTGGTTTACTTGTCAGCCTATTTCCTAATTTCCATTTCCGTCCCTGCTGGTGCACTTTGGGCCCCTCTATCACGTGCTGGTTTCGGCAAGTACCTTTTTGGTTTAGATTGAGTTTGTTTTCTGTATATGTTTTCTGTTTTCTTTTTTTTTTTTCCCCCCAGATAATACCCTTTTATATTTTGAATGCAACGCATTACTTTGGCCGTATAGTTGATAAGCATGTGGATCTTTATGCGGCCCTTAATGCTGAAATGAATGAGTATTTTAAGGGTAACAGCAACAAAACAACTGTTGAAAAGGTGGAGAAATTTGGATTATATGGATTAGCAGAAAAAACACTTTTTTACAGGTAAACTTCCATTTATGTCATCTCTAAAAACTGAGAAGCATTTGTTCAAATGGTCTTGAATCCCTGTTTTGGCCTGCGTCCACGTGACCCGGTGTGCACGTATGAAGCGTGGCTGCCGGCTGGGAGGGTGGCGGCAGCGGCGTGTCCCCCCACAGCCGCCTGGCACAGGGCTCCCAAGCACAGAGCACGGGAGACCGTATAACACCCACACACCAGTTTCTGAGCCGTTGCTCTGTGCCGCCTACATATACACTTATATCATTCCTGGAAAGTGGGTCCCATCTTACAGATGGGCACCATGAGCCCTGGTGAGATCACCTAGGTTCTATGATGCCAGCTCAGTAAACGGCACAAGCGGTATTCCCATACCGCAGTCTGCCTCGGGGACCTGCTCACACCCTGATTGCCAGCCCTGACTCCCCTTGGTGTGGCCTAGATCGAGAGACTTCGAAACTTCACCTTACTGTGTTGATTTTTATCGTGTTGTCCAAGAAGGGGATCAGTTCTATTCAGTAGTACTACACAGTTTTTATTCTTCTGTGTATTGAATTAAATAAGCCATTCTGAGTGCTCTTGACACCTCCACGTCACCACGTTGTTCTTCAGGGTCGAGGTGCTGGAGATGAGCCAGAAAGAAGACAGCTGGGGCCCGGACAGTGTCCTCGTGAGGTTTATAGATGAAGGCCGGACTGGACTGGTCACGAGTCACCAGCTGCTGCGTCTCCCAGAACATTTCCACACTCTGCCTCCCCAGGCGGTGGAGTTCATCGTTTGCAGAGTGAAACCTGCTGACAATGAAGTTGAATGGAATCCAAAGGTAAGTTATTTTGGCTTTTTGTGTTTTATATTTTTTTATATTTTGTTGACTCTGCGTGGAGGCTTATTTGAGTTTAAAGTTTTGAGTTTGGGTAAGCTGCGTCATGGTCCCGGACAGCTAAAGGGACAGCCTGCCTGGGTCCCCGCCGGTGCGGGGATGTGCTCACAGCCGCCGTCACAGACCCAGCTCCCAGGCCCCAGACAGCTGCCCGGCACCATCTTTGTCATTCGTGCTCACGGTCCTGGAGCCGGTGTAGAGTATGCCCTGCTGTGAAACAAGTTGGCTGTCAGCTTGAGAAGAACCAGAGGAAGCGCCAAGCGAATACCCCTGGCAGGCGGGGGTGGGGCGCGGGGGCCTGGGTGATGGATACTCTCTGGCGTGGCCAGGTGGTTCCCCTGCGGTTGGGAGGCCGGGCGGGGAGAGAGAGTCCAGAAAGAGCTTTCAGAGGAAAGGACATTTCCTCTGGGCCCTTCGGGAGGAGTAACGAGATTGTCACCACGTAGACCGGAGGAGGCACGAAAGGCGGAGGTGCCCGGAAGGGTGCTCCGGAGTGGGCTCACCTGGCTGTCCGGGATCAGGTGGGCCGTGCTCTCCGGCCTGGTGGAGACCAGACGGACAGTCCTGCTCAGCAGCAGAGCGAGTGGGACTTACTGTTCCCTAACGACACTCCTGATTCTTCAAAGGAAGGCTTAAGTTCGTACAGTCTAATTAATAGGATATAAAATAAGCCATTGCCATTGACGAAGTTAAACCACTTTGGTCAGACATCATCCAAGAAATGAACAGGTGGGTGTTTCCACAGTACAGGCTGGACACAGCGTTACTGTTGTAAGGTCACTAAAAATCTCCCTTATTAAATAGCAGGCTTTTTCCTTCTGCAAAGTATTGACTGAGCATCCCCGGTGTGCTGATGCCCCTGGGCTCTGGGGATGGTTAGCGAGGAAGGCCGTGGTGCTTGTCCTCGGGAAACCTTTCATCTCTCAAGACGGTCGCCCACAAGTACTTCTCCAAGAGGACCCTCCATAGAAATGGGGGAAAGGTCTCCCACGCGTGTTCTTCCAAATTCATGTGCAAGGTTCAAGGGGATAGAAACCGTCTAACCTGGACGAGCCAGCTCCCTCCTTGCGGCTTTCTCGGGGCAAAAATGTGCCTGAAAGAGAACAGCAGCCACGTGCCCAGGAAAGAGCACGCAGAAGCCTGGGGCCCCTCAGTTCCAGGGCCTCTTCCTTCTCACCGAGCTTCCAAAGTATGGGCATCCATACTTGGAAGACTTGTTCACAGAGGAGAGAGGATACTTGGCCACAGTGGACAACGCATTTTGGGAGTCCAGAGTGCACTGCCATGTGCACTGCCCGAACTGAGCCCCAGGGCTCAGTACCCTTGTCCACAAAGGGGCATCATGGCCTGTGACCTGCCTCACGGGACAGTGGGAGGGAGCAATGAAATACATGGAACAGTTTTTTTGCGAAACTGTGCAGCATAAACACAATAGGAGATTTTCTTAAAGCTTCAGATAAGTCACCTGTTTTGTTTTCTCAGGTCACTAGGTACATTCATCATAAAATCATTGGGAAATTGCATGATGCCAAAGTGGTACTGGCTTTAGGAAACACAGTGTGGGTCGATCCAATGGTGAGTGTGTGCTTTTCCTAAAGGAAATCTGTGTTTGAATGGGCCCTTAAAATTATTTGTGGTATTCTCATTTGTTGCATAAATAGTTGTTTCCCTCGAACAAATGGAGGCTTTGGGGGGCTCTTTGTTAGGGAGGATTAGGTTTTCCCCCCCCCATATTATTTGGGTCTTAAATTTGGCTGTATAACCATACACTTTAAAATTTAATCATAAATTTTGTATAAGAGAATCCCTTACACTATAACCTAGCACTCACAGTGGAGACAGGCTTTCTGGAACTCTCCTTGCTCCATGTGACAGTCTCTGATCTATTCTATTCCACTTTTTCAAGCATTGGTTGTATACTGTTAAGTCAGTTTCACAGTCCTCTGTCCCCACTGGTGGAGGCCCCATGTCAGGACAGTGGCCCCCACGTGGAATCAGTCATGTTGAGGATTCTTGGGCTTTCAGAAATGGCTTTTATTATGGTTATAGTCTCTGCCTCGCTCCTTCAGCAAATATTTGTTGAGCACCTGTTATGTGTGAGGTCCTGTGTGTGGGCGCTTGGCTTCTGTCTGTGAACAAAAGTTCCTACCCTGTGGAGCTGACATAGGGGTGGGCAGGGCTGAGTTCAGACCAAGACCTGTAATTGGGACCTCAGTGTATCCTCTCGCTGCTTGCCCCCCGAGAACTCTGCTTTTCAGTGCGAAGTTTTGCTCCATTGGCCTTGAATCTTAATTAGTATGATAAGGTTTAAAGGAATTCAGTTCTTAAGAATTGTTCTGCTGGAAGTTATTATTATGAGACTAGAAAAGCCTTAACACACCGAGAAGCTTGGGTGTAGGATTTAAGAGTTCGGAAGAGAAAATGTTTTTCAGTAGAGAAGGTAGAGATTGCCAGTGCAGGTCAATTAATATTTGGGGTCTTTAGTTTCCATAATAGTCAATATTCTGGTGGTTTATTGGAGACAAAAAAAAAAATAGAAACTTTATTAAGTGATTTTTAAAACTGTAGCTGAGAAAATCAAGAATCCAGAACAGAAAGCCCCCGTGGTGTCCGCTTCTGCAGCTCCGCAGCATGGCACTGCCCGTGGCACGGGGCAGGGGAGACAGGCCCCTGCACCCGCTTCCATCTCCACCCAGCCCAGCTCGGCCCCCCGTTCGAGTGGAGAGAGGCCCTGGCGCCACTCCCAGGAGGGAGCGCCTTCCCGGTGCCCACTTCACAAAGTGCTCCCGCTGCCTCCTCTGCCATGAAAGGGCCACGCGGTCCTGGGGTGAGCCTCCCATCAGCAGGAATCAGGATGTCACAGAGCTTCACATTTTGTCCAAATTAAAATTGATGGGAGTATTTTGGTTGCAGAAAAAAATGCAGTAGAGGAAACTGTCCAGAACACAGGCCCCCTCCAGGTGCCGAAGCCTCTGAGCCTTGGGGTCCTCCTTGTTAGGGGAGGTGAAACTACTCAAGTAATGAAATTAGAAAGTTAGAAAGTGAGAGTCCTGTGCATGGTCCTTGCATTACAGATTGGTCTCATCTGGGAGTTTTAGTCCAGGATTGAGTTTTGGGCCCCCCAACCCCAGACCTCTTCATACTTTGGCAGTGTGGGGGCGGGTTCCGGAAGCATCTCTCGTGTGACTTCTGATGTGGCAGAGGGAGGCCCCCGTGCACCAGACATTGCACAGCGAGATTGCGAGGTCACCGAGAGCGTGTTCGATTGATTTAAAAGTTCAAAGCATGGTTCCTGCAAATATGCTTTGTCTCTGATTCAAGGTGCACGTTACAAAACTTTCAAATTTGAAGACGTCTGTCATTGATTATAACGTTCGTGCTGAAATTGTGTCAATGGGCTTGGGTGTTGACAACTCGGAGCACGTGGAACAACTGAAGACGCTGCACCAAGGAGCTCAAGTGCCACCTGGTGAAGAAAGCCTGAGCCACGCCCTGTACGTAGACCTTTTTGTTTTAACTTGAGAGAGAGAGAATGAGGAGGAGATGGGCGGGGCAGGGGGAAGGGGGGGAGAGAGAGAGAAAGAGAGAGAGGGAGAATATCCCAAGTAGGCTCCAAGCTCAGCGTGGAGCCCAACACGGGGCTCAGATCCTACAGCCCAGGGGTCATGATCTGAGCCAAAATCAAGAGTCGGATGCTCAACTGACTGAGGCACCAGGCGCCCTTGTAAGTCGATTTTTGTCTCCCTTTTGGAAGAGCTGTTTTTTGGGAGTATAACTCACGAGTGTCAGAGACTTTTTCTTTTTTTTCTTTTTTCTTTTTTTTTTTGAAAGTTGACTGGGTACTGAGTCTCCACGTTTTCATCGCTCAGCTTCAGTAATTTCTCAGGCTTGGAGAGTCTTATTTTATCCATACCCCAGTGCGCATTTTTGCTTTTGCTGGAATATTATAAAACAGATCCCAAATGTGCTGTTATACCTGTATCTCGTGCTAAATCAGTTTTTGTTACCTTTTCCCTGACTGCACACACACACAGAACAGTATAGACGTCGTAAGTGTAGTTTGGTGGACTTTCTGAGCACAGAAGCCAATCCTGGATCAGAAAGAGGGCGTGAGTCCGTGCCGCCCCCTGCCCCCTCCCCAGGGCAGCTGCCATCCCGACGTGGAAGAGCATGTATCGCCCTACCCTGGTTTGTACTTTGTGTGAAGGGACTCGAACAGTGTGTCTCTGGTTCTGCTTCGGCACAGTTCGTGAAATCCACCCATGCTGTGCGGGTGCCTGTGCGTCGTAAAATCTTACTGCCGCCTGACACCGCGTGTGTGAACGTACCGTAATTTGTTCACCCCTTCTGTCCTTGGCGGAGGCATCTCCCTGCCCCGGGCTGCCACTGGGGGCGGTGTGGATGCTGCCTGCCTGTGCTCCGGTGCGCGTGCAGCTGTTCCTCCTGAGGCTGGTGGTACTTTGCAGCCTGTGTGTGTTGTATAAACAAGCCCAGAGTGCACGGTTGTCACTTTTCTTCCTTTTACACAAATATACCAGAAAAAAAAAAGAACACTTGGGTTCTTGGACACTTCCTGGGACTGTCGCTTTCCTCTGCCCCAAATCCCTTACCTCCTGCCTCTGAGACTGCATCACACCCACACCCACCACGTAAACAGACAGTCCGGATGTCTCGTGAACGTAAACGCCCCTCAGCGTCATCCTAACATCTGTTTGCCTTTCTTAACCTCAGGACGGAGTTACTTTGTACTTTTTCAGTGTAATTTTTGTGCCTGTGTGGCTTTTAAAAGCCCATTTAAGAACAGTTGCCACCTTCACTTCTATTCATCGTCTCCTTCATGAATAAAAGGACCAGTAATTTCTTCCCATGTTTTCCCAGTGTAGGGCTTTCTTTCCATGTTTTTTCAGAAGAAATAGATTAGCTTGCCACTGTAGGGTATAGTCTTCATTATAACCAAGATTAAAGATATAATCTGATTTTTTTCAGATGGGCTTTAAAAAATGTTTTTTTTAATGTTTACTTTTGAACAGAAAAAAAAAAACAGCGTGAGTGGGGGAGGGGCAGAGAGAGGGAGACACAGGATCCGAAGCAGGCTCCAGGCTCTGAGCTGTCAGCACAGAGCCCAACTTGGGCTCGAACCCACAGACTGTGAGATCATGACCTGTGCTGAAGTCCAACGCTTAATTGATCGAGCCACCCAGGCGCCCCCAGGCTTTTTTTATTTTTTAATGTTTGGGAGGGAGAGCATGTGCATGAGTTGGGGAGGGACCTGGAGAGCAGGAAAGAGAAACCCGAGCAGGCTCTGCCTCACTGTCAGCACAGGGCCTGCTGTGGGGCTCGATCTCAGAAAAAAACAAACAAACAAGGAAAAAAAACCCAGAATTGCTGAGGCTGAGGCATAAAGTTGCTGCCTAGTAGTGTTCCAGACTGGTAGTCCCAGTTTACACTGCCACAGGTAGAGGATGAGAGACTGGGAAAGTCCCCGGCACCCCTTTGGGGGAGGATGGGCTCATCAGGAAGAATGTTGCAGCCACCTGTTCGAAAAGTGGGCAGAAGACCTGAGCACCTGAGCAGACACTTCACCATGTCTTACTAATGAATTGCTCAGCAAAGAATATATGAAAGGGCACCCAGACTCCTCAGTCATCACAGAAATGCTGTTTAAAACCACAATGTGATAATAGCACTTCATACCCCCCAGAAATGAGGGAAAGAAAATACCAGGTGTTGGTTAGGCTGTGACGTAACAAAAGGCTTTTTGAAACTTGACTAGAGGGGCACCTGCGTGGCTTAGTTAAGTGTCCAACTTTGGCTCAGGTCATGATCTCACGGTTCATGGGTTTGAGCCCCGCATTGGGCTCTGTGCTGACAGCTCGGAGCCTGGAGCCTGCTTCACGTTCTGTGTCTCCCTCTCTCTCTGCCCCTTCCCGTGTTTATGCTCTGTCTCTTTCTGTCTCTCAATGATAAATAAATGTCTAAAAATTTTTTAAAAAAGAAACCAGTAGCATGCTATTATTACATCTAAAAAATTAACAGTAATTTCTAAAATTGCACGTGTTTTTCATTGTGTTAAAACACACATAACAGAATTTCTCATATTTTTTTCAAATTGTGGCAAAACACACAAAATCTGTCATGCTCTTCTGAACGCACAGAAGTCCATTCACAGTGTGTGAAACCGTCACAGGAGGGTGGGAGAGACTCTGGTCCTTGCCTCAGTCAAAATGTATCTCTCCAACAACAGAGAGCAAAGCAATAGAGTTTATTGAGGCAAAGTGCGAAGGTCTCAAGAGTGAGGGGCCCCGACGGGGGAGCCGCTGAAGATTGTCGTCTCTGACTGTTTATCAGGACCTTATCAGAAACTTTGTGAGACTTCTCTCACAGCACCTAGCCTGGGCAGGTCTGGAATACCTTTATCCTTCCCCTCCCCCAACCCCACCCCCTTCAGCCCCCGCTTGCAGCCGCAGCCTGCCTCCCTGAGGGTTGAGGGTCGCTGATCTGTCCCTGCCTAATATTGACCCTTTCTCTGCTCGTAACCACCACCACCACCGTGCACCCCTTGAACGTTTTCAACTCCCCAAACAGAAACCTTGTCCCCACGAAACACTAACCCCCATCCCTGCCCCCACAGCCCCTGGAAACCTTCATTCTACTTTCTGTTACTTGGCCTGTCAGAACAGGCACCCTGTATAAATGGGGTCATGCAACACAGGGCCTTTTGTGTCTGGTTCAGTTCACTCTGTGAAGCTTTCCGGGCTCACCCACGTTGCAGCATGTATCAGGATCTGCCCTTTCTAAGGCTGAAGAATATTCCTCTGCGTGGAGAGATCCCATTTTGTTTGTCCTTTCAGCTGTTAGTGGACGTTTGGCTGTTGTGAGTTGTGCTGCTGTGAACATGGCTGTATGAACCGCTGTTGAGGTCCCTGCTCTCCATTCCTCCTGGGACACACCCAGAAGTGGCATTGCTGGTTCACACATAATTCTGTGTTTTATTGTTTTCAGCTGCTGAACTGTTTCCCACAGCAGCTGCTCCATTTGACGTTTGCAGCAGTGATGCACAGAGGGTCCCGTTTTCTCCATGTCCTTGTCTAGAAATTAGCCCAAGGCGAAGGCTTGAGGTCTCCCTCAGGACTTTTCTGAACCTGCATCTTGCCTCGGCATGCATGTGGCTTTCTGCCCCCAAATGTCCTGATTTCCTAGGGTCACCCAGCTTCTCCTTTGGGCTTTAGATGGTCTGTGGTGTCTGGGTCCCTGATCCCTTCCCCTCAGCGTCTGTGGGCTTGTGGTCTCTCTTTCTGAGCAGTACCTGCTATTTTCTGTTGGCGTTCCAAGTTTGGCCCCTCAGGTCCCCCACCAGAGAGGTCAGAGCGGACCATGCAGTAATCAGCGAGTAAAGCCTGCTCTGCTCCCTCTGGTTTGAGGTGGGGATGAGAATCAGGCTGCTGCCCGCCCAAAGCAAGACCACTGTGCTGTGGTGGGTGGGCCAAGGGCGAGTTGAAGTGCCCAAGGCCCTTCCTCCGGTTCTGAAGCTGGCTTTTCCTTTATTGGGCATTTGCTTTGTTGCTGTAAGCCTTTGGGTGCTGGCCCCTGCAGAGGTGGTTCCCACAGCATCTGGTGGTCCTTTCGGGGCTTCTGCGGGGAGATGGAAGGCTGGAGTTGCCTTGCCCACCATTTTGTTCTGATGTTTTCCGGTGACAAGATGCAGGAATATGTCTTCAGTCTAATGTTTCCAGTTCATCTAATTAACAGATAATTGTTCTTACCTGAATTATCCTTGGGCCACTTGAAGCTTTAAAATTCATTCTGTAAATTTTTATTGTCTACAGTAGGGAACAGATGAAGGGGCATCTTGCACTGTAATAGAGTGAGACAGACCATCAGCAGGCTACAGACGGACATGGTGGGTCACATGGTGAGATGCAGCCAGTGAGCACAGACAGGTTAGGGTGGCTGTGGGCTGAGAAAGGTGAGAAGTGACCCAGGTGCCATCTAGGACAGTACTCCCGAAGGGACAGGGAGGGCTCCACCATCCCTTGATTCTGGAAACAGGGAGGAAGGTGTGGCGACTAGAGCAGAAGCATGGGGGCCCCTAGGTGCTGAGCGGTCCTGGGACGGCATCTTGTGGCCATTTGCAAGGACTGGGCTCCACTCTAAGGAGGCAGAGCCATGAGAAGGTTTTGAGCAGAGGGGTGATTAATCAAAAGATCCTTGGCACCCATGTTGAGGATGGGCTGGGTTGGGGGGCAAGGCTGTGCTGGGAGTTCAGGATGGGGGGGGACACTGGCTTGGGCTAGGGTGGCTTTGTGGAGGTGGTGAGAAGTGGCTGCTTTCTGAATACATTTGTAGTGTGTGTGTGGCCTCACGGAGCCTCGTTGGCAGGTCCTGGGTACTGAGAGCGGGAAGGAGCGAGTGCTGAGCCCCGCGGGCCCTGTGTTGAGTGGCGGGGGGCCTGAGGGGACACCGGAAGGGGGCCTGAGAAGGAGCAGCCGCAGCGTTGAGGGAGGCCTCGGAGGGCGAACACCCAGACGGGGCAGGTGCAGGGGTGTCTCAGAGCAGGAGCCGTGAGCCCGCCAGACGCTGCCAGGAGGCCTGAGGAGTGAGTCCAGGGGCTGGCCGTGGGGGCGGCCGTGGGAGCTGGCCGTGGGGGCGGCCATGGGAGCTGGCCAGAGGCTGGCCATGGGGGCGGCCATGGGGATGGCTATGGGGGCAGCTGTAGGAGCTGGCCATGGGGGCAGCCCTGGGAGCTGGCTGTGGGGGCGGCCGTGGGGCTGCTGGTGACCAGGGAGGATTCCTGCTGATGGATGAACACATCCGAGAGTTTGAAAGAACACGACAAAGGTTAAAATACTTCAGTCTGAGATTGTTAGTTTTTATCTGAACGAATTGGGTGCCGTGAGATTAGGATACATGTCAGCTTCTGTACACTTTCAGGAAACAAAAATTGCTCCATGCTTGCTTATGAGATACTCTTCTAGAAGCAGGGACCTCGCTAGAGTTTCGTAGATTTAACGAAAACGAGGCTTGATGGCTTCCGTCAAACAACAGCTGCTCCTGAGCCCCAGCTCTGTTCTCCGCTTGGCCCTCTGCACTCTGATCGTGTGGTTGTGCAGGAGTCTTGCACACGTGTGGCCCCACACGTAAGGCAGAAGTGCAGAGGACCGTGAGCAAGGTTCTACGGATGGAGTCTGCCCAGGAAACTCCATTCCAGGAGCTGAATGGTGCCTTGCTTACAGCGGGTTGGGAAAGAAGATAGTTCCTGGGGACGTAAAAGACTTGGAAGCCATAGGGCTTGGTAACAGACAGACACAGGGGTGTGACTCTGTAACTCTGAGCGCCTGGGGTGGGAGGGCATTGGCATGGCGGACAGTTCCAGGGTGCTTCCCAGAGAGCAGCTCGCCCTGGAGGAGGACCTACTGAGTTGGTGTGGGACATGTTATGTTTCAAGGTTCTCCAAAGCATAATCCCAGAGCTCAGGAAAGCAGCTGGGAAGCTAGTTAGCTGGTATTAGAGGAGAGTCACACTGGGAAAGCATGTGACGAGCAGGGACGGAGCCCCACGGGTGAGGGTCTGGTGGGGGCACAGAGTGAGTGATGGAGGGCCTGGTGCTGCACAGTGCGGGGGACGTGGCCTGAGGAGGGGCCCCTGCCTGGCTTGTTGGAACACGGGTATGCCCTCTTCACTTTTTGGGGGGTGCCATTCACAGGCTTCATGTGTGTCAACCAGAAGTCACAGTCACACTCCCCACACCACGGATGTGTGTGCGTGCACACGTGTTTGTATGGTTTGGTATGGGTTTGCTCTTTTAGGCTTGAATTATCTCTAAAAGGATGCACAAAAACTTACTTCCATTGTCACCCATGAGGAAGGTGGCCGGATGGCTGGGAAACAGGGGCCAGAGAGATTTTTCACTGTAGACCTTTGTGTATCAAAACATTGAACCGCATGAATGTGGTTACCGGCTCCAAAAAAAAAAATTTAAAAATTTGTAAAGGATGAGGGAGTCCCCTATGTGCTGATATGGAGTAATCTATGTCTAGTTATTAAGTACAGTCAGAAAATGGGCAGAAAAGTGAATTTAATAGGTTCCCATAAATTTAAATGGTTTCCAGATGGAGACCCACACTGGTAAAATGATGTCTCGGGGAGAAGGGGCTGAGGGTCTAGGGCAGGGAGCAGAGATGGCTTTTCCTTCCTGCCCTTGTAACGCTGTGGGTGAATGAGTGACTGTGTTTATCTGACAGTCTCTATCGGTCGCCTGCTCTGTGCTCACTGCCAGGCGTGGGGCAGTCAGCAGAGCTGGCAGCCCGGCCCTTCATCCGTCAAGGGGCCCTAAGCGGTGTATGGGCCTGACTTGAGGCGGTGGGCACCGCACGGTCATTTGCCACCTGCCTTCCCCCTCTTGCTGGAGGGACGCTGGAGAGGCTAGAGGCTGCTGTCTGCATCTTGGAGCTCACCGTCCCCTCTTCCCTGCAGGGCGCCTTCTCCAGCAGAAGATGCCGCTGGTCTGCAGAGCACGCAGGAGGACAGGGGCTCGGGAGGAGGTGCTGACTCCGAGGCGAAGCTGGAAAACCAAAAGCATGGTTGGTGATTTAAAGCATGGCTGATATAAAGTCATGAAAGCTTGAAAATTTCACAGCGTTGAGGCTCTCCACTTTTAGATGAGTTATATAGAAGGTGACATAAAATGCTATTACTTAACTTCTATTTTTGACAGTTCAGCCTCCAATGTTTTAATTTTTTAAATGGGAGCCTTTTTTTTTTTTTAAAGAGAGAATGCGAGCTGGGGAGAGAGACAGAGAGGGAGAGAGAGAATCTTAAGCAGGCTTCACGCTCAGCACAGAGCCCAATGTGGGGCTCCATCCCCCCAGCCTGCGCTCATGACCTGAGCTGAAATCAAGAGTCCGACACTCAACCAACGGAGCCACCCAGGCGCCCCCCCCCCCCCGTTTTTTTAAAATAAATTTTTCCTTTTTGTTAATTGAGGTATAAGTTTCATCCAGTAAAGCACGCAGCTTATCAGAATTACTTACATGTGTATATTATGTCTATTGACTGCACCCAGATGAAGCTGCTGAACATTTCCAGAAGCCCAGGAATCTCCCTCCTGCATCTTCCCCACCTGAAACCCTTCCCAGGAACTGTTGTCCTGACTTTTGTCACCACCAGCTTTGCTGAGTTAGAAGCACAGAGTGTATACTCTTGGGGCTTTCCTCGCTCAGCGTCCTATCTGGAATTCATCTAGATTATCACAGGGAGTGGTGATACCTTCTGGCCGCTGAGTCATACTCTGTGATGTGAATATACTACACCTTGTCTGTTTGCCTGTTGATAGACACTGAGGCTGTTTTCATTTTGGGGCTATTATTAAAGCTGCTGTGAACATACTCGTTCAAGTCTTCGAACGGAAGATTCAAGTGTTTTAGACTGCCAAGTTCAAATGGTGTTGTTTCAGAAAGAGTTGTGTTTAGCACTGGCTCCTCGTGTGTGCTCACTACAGGCGGCTTCCCATCAGGCGGGCGACTTTAGTCTCAGCAGGGCACGGTAGCCGCAGGGAAGCCTGGGGCCGTGGCAATAAGGCCACTCCTTTGCAGAGTAACTTTACTGTCCTGATATAAAAAAAAAAAAAAATTTTTTTTTTAACATTTATTTATTTTTGAGAGAGCACAAGTGGGGCAGGGGCAGAGAGAGAGGGAGATACAGAATCTGAAACAAGCCCCAGGCTCTGAGCTGTCCACACAGAGCCCAATATGGGGCTCGAACCCACAAACCGTGAGATCATGACCTGAGCCGAAGTTGGATGCTTAACCGACCGAGCCACCCGGGCGCCCCCTGATCATTTTTATACTATTTATCCAATCCATTTTTATAAGTTCTACTAAGTGTGGTGTATTTTAATTTTTTCTAATTATTCTTTGCAAGTGGATGCTTGAGTTTCTGTGGAATTTGTACCCCTCAGTTCTCAGCTAAAAGTTGCATGAAGTGGGAAAAGTACATATAGGTACATAGATTATACCGTTACATATAAATAACTTACTGGAACATTTGACCTTCTGTCCAGAAACTTCACCTGAAAACACAAGAGATTCTTCCCTTAACAAAACCACAGAACCTCTGAAAAGGTACGTCCATCTGCTGGGGGAGCCTACTTCACTTCCTTGCCTTGTGAGTAAGTAGCGAGGCACGTGTAAGCCTTTTTTTCTCTCTTAGCTTCCACCCACAAGTCAAATGGTTCCAAAAAGATGATGTGGTCATACTGAAGATAAGGCTAAGGAACGTAAAAGATCACAACTGCAAATATTTCCAGGATAGAGTCGTTTTCAGGTAGGTTCACGCACGTCTTATGAAGTAAAACAGAAATCACTTCTAACACGGGAGAACACCAACCTTTCCTTCTGCGAACCTAGCGCCTGGGCGGGAGAGAAGTTTTACATGGCCGATATGGAGCTGCAGGGCAACATAGTCGGAGACGACTGCAAGTGCACGATTATGGGCGAGGAGCCTGTGATCACGCTGGCGAAGGAGAGAAAGGAGCCTTGGCGCAGCTTACTCAAGCGGAGGGTGAGTGCATGCGGGCCGCAGCGGCTTTCGGCACCCCGAGCGTCCCCCGCTTCTCTCACTTACCGGCACCTGTTTCTGTCGAACAGAATCCTAATGTGGCTTTTGATTTTGATCACTGGGAAGAACACGAAGAGGAGAGCCGCTTCCCCAAGGGTAAGACGGGATGCACCCCTTCCTGGGGAGGTGCAGGTGCTGAATGCCATGGGGCACACCCGGTCACCCCGCCGGCTTGGGGACTGAGGCCTTTGTGGACATCGGTCATTGATGGGAAGCCCTTAGGAATTCGTTTTCTCCTGTGGTCGATTTTGATGCTAAATGTTCTGGTTCGAGGTGGTACCGTACGGCCCTTAATTACAAGCAGACTTTCTTACAACGCTTGTACAGCTCTTTCCCAGAGAGTAATCTCTTTATAAGCAGGCCAGTTTTTACCAGTTTCGTTCTTGCCTCAGAAAATCTAAAATAAGTTATTAAAAGTAGAACTACAACCCTACAACCCAGCAATTATACTATGAGGTATTTACCCAAAGAATACAAAAATACTGATTCAAAGGCACACAGGTACTCTAGTATATATGGCAGCACTGTCAGCAATAGCCAACTTCTGGAAAGAGCCCAGATGTCCGTGGACAGATGAATGGGTAAAGAAGATGCAGTGTGTACATATTGTATGGAGTATTACCCAGTGATCAAGAGGAATGAAATCTCGCCATTTGCAACAATGTGGATGGAACTAGAGCAAATAATCAGAAAAGGACAAATATAAGATTTCACTCATATGTGGTATGTAAGAAATACAACAGATGAACATAGAGAAAGGGAAGGAAAAATAAGATGAAGAGAGAGAGGGAAGCAAACCATAAGACTCGTAAATACAGAGAATAAACGGTTGCTGGAAGGAGGTGGGTGGGGGTTGGGCTAACGGTGACGGGCATTAAGGAAGGCACTTGTTGGGGTGAGCACTGGGTGTCGTGTGCGTGATGAATCACTAGATTGTACTTCTAAACCATTATTCTACATGTTAACTAATTTGGATTTCAGTGAAATTAAAAAATTAAAATAAGTTGCAAAATAGAGCTCTAGAACCTAAGGGACATTTTTTTCCTACACTGGCCAAAATACTGGCAGGGCTGGGGGAGGGAGATTTGCTGATTAGTCTGTGGTTAACAGGGTTTTCAATAATCTCTTGTACAGTTGTGAATTGTAAAAACCTGTCCCTGAAAGTGGCAGAGGTGGCTGAGAGCAGTGCCACAACGTCCGAGGACAGCGGAAGTGAGAGTGAATGAGCAGAGTCAGACCCGGAAGGGTGGCGAGCACCGCACACGGATGGACACGCCACGTGGCCGAGATTTCGGGAAACAAGGCGCCATGGCCAACCTGTCCTTGACTCAAGGGTAAATTGGGACCCGGTGTCATCCCATGCACAGGGATTGTTACTGCTGGGAAACGGGCTTCAGGGGCTCTGGGGGCAGGGTGGGGGGGCCAGCACTGCTGTCACTCGGGCCCAACCTCCACCTGAGCCATCCGTCCCACGCTGTCACACGCAGCCCATCCTGACACTCCCGTTGAGTGATAGGGAGCACGCCGTGCCACATGGGCGCTGAATTGTACTTTCCGGAGCTGATCTGTTTGCTTCTTCACGTAGAGCTGTTGGGCATGCTGCTGAAAACCTGGTGTGCCTAAGACTTGGGGTTTCCAGCTTCCTGCCCTGAGCTGGCTGGGGTCCGGCAAAACTCTGAGTACGGCTCTGGTGTTCTTAGGGCACGGGTAGCTGCTCATGCAGAGACCAAGGGGAGAAGAGGGGGCTGCGTCAACAGCTGACAGCTGGACCCAGGGCTTTCTGGAGGTAAAGCCTCCGCTTCTGAAGAGCCCCTGGGCTGCAGGGCCCTGGGCGAATGGGACAGAGGTTTCTCTTCAGTGGAAACTGGGAAGGACCCTTGGGAGCCCTGGAGGAGACCCTCAGGACACCGGGGTGGGAGGAGCCCAAACATTCACAACGCCATCCTGAGATGGGGCTGCGGCCCGCAGGGTCCCCGGAGGAAGGTGTCCTGTCACTGCCTGACTGCGCAGGCGCCTGACCCTGACGCCCACACTCACTGGAAGTGTTAGAAAGGAGCAGAGTGTAAGCCCCATGGGTGGCTTCGCTGCGCCTAGAAGCGGGAAAGAACGGGGACCGGACATGACCATCGTGACTGCCCCCAAGATCTTTATTCTTGTTGTACATCAGAAAGCCCAGGTGTCCACGTCTGTGTCTGTCCCAGGTACATAAGCCACTGCTTGAACGATAGGGAAACCCCGTCATCAGGCTGCCCCGTGAGCAGGTTTGGATCGCACTCTGGCTCTCAGTTTCCTCATCTGTAAAATAAGACATCCTGCTCCTGGCGAGGCCTGCCCTCGCTTCGGCCGCAGCCCCAGCACCCGCCACGGGGCCCCCGTGGGCTGGCTGCCAGCTGTCACATGGGTACACACAGTGCAGTGGTGATTGTCCCTTTTCTTGGCTAAATTGTGCCGGCTCTTCCGGAAGTAGGAAGTCCTGGTCTTTGCTGGCAAAGATTTTGTCGTGTCCTCAGCAGGCATCAGTTTCTGCAAACAGAAGTTTTGCTCCCCCCGGGGGAGGCCTTTGGGCTGGTGGCCCGGCCTCCTGAGCTGGGCGGCTTTCCTTGTGACTGTGGCCACCTGCTGTCAGTGCTCGCTTATATTCACTCTCTTTTGTAAAACATAAGCAAATAATCAGAGCAGGTACTAGAGCTGCGTAAGTGGCGGGGGCGGGGGGGTGGGGAGGGCTCGTCCGGCTTCTCTGTGTGGTTCGCAAACAGCCAAAGGGAAATAGTGGGGAAGCAGAGCTATAGGTTAAAGTCTTGATTTCTTTTCTTAAATGGGCTACTTGAGGTTCTGAATAACCTTTTGTAAGACGGAGACACCGACTTGTGAAATAGAAACAATGACCAGTTTCTTTTTGTTCTGTTAATACGTATTGATTTCATGTTTGGGGAAGATTTCCAAAATGCAAAGGGAAAGTACATTTGTCTCTACGCTTCTAAAATTGCTCTCATACCTAGTTGTGGTGTGAATGTCTTCTGTAGTATATCAATAAAATTTCAGCTTTCACAGAAATGCCATTTTCCATTTTTTTAGACCGTACTTTCCCTCAGTGCCAAATGCAAAATAGAATTTTATTCATCACCCTTTCTGGTTAGACCAGAGTGGCAGTGAAGGCTGAGGTGGGGCCTATCCTGGGCACCAGGCTGCAGATGGTTCTGGACAGTCAGCTTTGCAGTGGGGGCCTCAACATTCAGCCTAGGATAGACTCGCCTCGGATATCCTGGGTAAAATACAGGGGAGCAGTACTTCTGAGAATGGGGAGGGTAGGCAGTAAAACATTGGTACTTTCATATGTTCAAAATCTATTTCAATCAGAGCAACATATGTGTGTATCTGTACACACCTTATCGGTCACTGGTTTAAAGAATACCCTTTATTTAAGCAGATGTGATGTGCCCCTCCGCCGCTGAAGGGTCACAGCCGTAAGGTGGTAGTTTTCCCTGAGCCCTTGGCTGGCTGCCAGCCTTCTGGTTAGGTTACATCGTCCCTGCTGACCTTGGCAAACACCTATCCCTTCCCTCTAGAACCCCCGCCCAGAGAACTGAGGATATGGAAAAATAACAGTATTATGAATACCCAAATATGTTTTTCTCTTGAGGAGACAACCAGGTAGAAATAACCACAAATACTGCTTACAAAAATACATTCATCGCAGTTTGAACTTGGCTCCGGGAGGCTGGGCTTGCTACTCTGGGGCTTCCTCTGCCGGCACAACCTCCATCAGCATCTGAAGGTACATGGTGACGGGCTCTGGAGCAAAAGCCAACCAACAGGTGCGGTTAGAGGGGAGCAGTTACCTGGCTCTCGCCCCATGGGGCAGGGTCCTGTGTTCGAGCCGCGCTCAGGGGTCAGGGGTCTGAGGGAGTCAGAACCATCCTGGGGGTCACAGGGGCTCTTTGGAGGTAAGTTATTTCCTGGAAAAGCGTCAGGAACCTGCTATTTTATTGCCACCAAGCACTGTCCTCTATAGGGAAGATCTGCAGGACTCACTTGTTACGTGTGCATTTAACTACCACTGACCGACAGTTAGATATTTGGTTGGAAGTCACTGGGCCTGCGTCTTGCTAAAAATCCAGATAGTTTACTCTTTTCACCTCCGTAAATCCAGCTTCCTCCCAGTTTTTGCAGGGAGCAGCTCGAGCGAGTTTTCTAAAGCTGAGACATGAGACCTGTTTTGCCCTCTAGGCTGTGGGTCCCGCTGGCTAGAGTCTCGGTCAGGACGACCAGATCTGAGCTCACGCTCTGAGGCAGGGGAAGGTGGCTGTCCTCCCAGTACAGGAGGACCAATGGGCTTTCCTGTCCCTAGCGGTGGGGCTGCAGCCCTCTCAGCTCTGGGCTTTGAGCAGAGGAAGGAGGCTGTGCGGTGGGGAGACGGTGTCCCCGGCAGAAAGAACAAAGCCCTATTTGGGGGTTGCTTTCACTGTGTTCGTCAACGTGAAACAGATGCGCTCTCGCTGTACCACCGCTGTCAGGCTCCCCGCGCGAGGAAGTGCCCAGGCTGCGGAGCGGCCCCTGCAAAGTCCAGGGTAGAGCTGACCGCCTTGCAGTCGGGTTTCGCTTCCGGACCTCATCCGGCTCCCTGAGCTGCATCAACAGAAGTAACAGCAGACAGCAGTGCCTGCGGGGACGACGCGGTTCCCTGCTTTCCCGCGCAGGCAGGCTGAGGGAGAAGGGGCCTCTTTTTCATCACCTTTACTCAATAAACACTAGGTGGCTGTTGCATAGAGGCACAGTGAAACTGCACAGCCCAGTTCCTGCCTTCTAGAAACAGTACAGGGACGTGGGGACCAAGAAAGGGTGGTCAGGTGGTGGAGGACTGTTGGCCTGGCGAGGCTGCTGGGGGCTCCCGCTGTTGAATCTGCAGCACAGGATGTGACACTGCGAACATCGCCAACATTGTGATGCGTACTTGGCACCACGATGATGTCCTTGGCTCCACTTTTTATTTTTCCAAAGTGAAGTGGCTAACGTAGCTATGCTTCCTAACAACTGTCCTAAGGTAGCTGAGGGGCTGGGCTTGCTCAGTGCTGACAGAGCAGTGCCTCTCGGGCCCTCGTCCCAGCTCTGTCACCTTCCGGGTGTCTTGGGTGCTACTGAGCCTCAGATGGTGTCTGTGTATCAGGCGAAAGAGAGGGGCTCTGGGGGTTGGATGCACAATAATGGGAACATACTTGTCGGTACTGAAGCCTAGACTTAAAAATCGTTAGGATGGCCAGTTTTATGTCATGTGTGCTTTACAGTGGAAAAAAAAAAGCAGATGGCGATGGCCCTTCCTACTTGTTACAGTAATTGATGGGGACAAAGGCAGAAGCCACAGGGTGGACCCCAGAGGTGTCACACTGAGAAGGTGAAATTTCCTAGCTGCCTGAGCCGCTGCCATAAGACAGTGGGTAACATTGGGACCAGGGAGGTGCGGGACGCACCTGTCTGCGCCTCGCTCACAGCACCACAGTCCCTGTGTCGGTACTTACTTGAGATTTTCTGAGCCCATCCAAACTTATAGTGGACAAAAAGGAAGTAAAATATAAGGCCGCTCAGTATAAATAGCACACAGTAGAGATACTCCCAGGCAGGTTCGCTGATGATTGGGGCCAAAACCAAAAATACGGATATGAGAGTCACCAAGATGGGGATGAAAATGGGCACCTGCGGGCGAGACAGTGGAGTCATGATTTGACCACGTGCATTCACGTCCTTCCTGAAATTTTCATTTAAAACAAAACACTGATAAAGAGTACAGTAAACTCTATGTGCCCCTCCTCCAATTTCAATTCAATTTTAATTTTGCCAATCTTAACTCCATCTGCCTTTCCCCCCATTTTCCTAGAATATAAAGAAAATGCCAGACTTCGTGTCATTTTACCTGTGAAATACTCCGTATACATCTCTGAGTAGGACTTTATATTTTGAACGTGTTTATTCCCTCCTGTCTGTCTCTCTCCCTTCTCATTGATTTGCGGTAGGAGTTGGATAATTCATCCTATACAAGGTCTGAGTATTGCCCGAGAACTTGCTCCTCTATCCCTCCAAGTTCTCACACGCTGGTAGTTGGAACTGGAGGCAGGAAGACTTCGTAGTTGGAACAGGCGTTTCCTTTTGTAACACATCAGGAAGCCCTTAATGTCCATTGTGCCACCTCTGAATCACCAGGGTCAGTCAGTGGCTTCAGGGGCAGGAGAGGAGGCCCGTGCCACTAGGTCTGGATTCCTCCATCTCTCCGGGAGCTGTGTTCTTTTAGTAGGAAATGGCACTTAGAAACCATAATCTGGGTGGTTGGAGTACTCACTGTCCTTTTACAGGGACAGAAGATACTTTCTTTTCAAGATTCACAGCAGTATGAACTGCTATTTCCAATTCAAAG